CTTCAGTGACGGTCGATGTTGTAAGACCATCGGTCAGGCGATTAATGGAACCTTGCAGGTTCATCCATGCGGCGGTGCTGGCAGCATCTTTGCCCTTTCTGCCACCATTCCCACTGCTACGCCGACTCGTACCCGTTAACTTGAGCTTCTTGCTGTCGGATTCTGATGGTACCAGCTGCGAGACCGACTCAGACATGATGGATGCAGAAGGGGCAACTGACGTCATATCGTCGAGCTGGCGCTTTCCCAGGCTAGAGGTAGAAGAAGGAGGCGGCATGAGGGAGGGGATACTAGTACTGACATCATGAGTGATGTTGCTGGTGCTGGTGCTGGGACCTGGTACTGGTGCGGCATCATCAGTGATGTTACTGACACTGGGACCTGGCACTGGGACTTGAGTGCCGGTTGCAGCTGATGACGTGGGGTTGTATGAAGCAGATCCATGTGCAATGCTGTTAGTCGGTAGGATTTGGTCCATCTTGTTGTAGAACCTCCAACCGGTGTTCTTGAACGACTTCATGGACTTCCCAGAGCTGCTCTGTGGCAAGATAAATTCAGCTGAAATTAATACATAAATGTGATTACATACGTGAATAAATTCATTCCACACAGATTCAGCTGCCTCCCCCTGAATGCTAGCACCATGTTCACTATCCCAATGACACCCGGATCGGTTGCGATATTTCTCAATAGCATTGTAAGTAGATTTTAACTAAAATATTTGCATCAGCGATGGCTGGACTCAGAGTGGCACAAGAGACAACATACCCCTGCCCATTTAACCCTGCAATGTGATGCCGTCTTTACTGGGCCACTTTTCTTCAACCCTGCGATCTTGAGGGCAGCTTCATTGTAGGTCGGTTCTTTGAAGTTGGTTCCAGCCAACTTTGATCGTTGTGTGATAAGATAGTCGAGGAGGGCATCAACCTCAGCATCCTCCCAGTGAGCCTTCTCCTTTGGTAAAGACATTTGTATCAGCTGGAGTTGGCTACAGATTATGAAAGTAGCGACTGCTACAAAGATCTGCTTTCTGCGCTGATCATATGCGCGATGGCTGATAACAGATTTCGTGGCCATGGTCGGAAGGGAAAGACATTTGATCTCCGACACTGGCGTTCGTCGTGCCGCCTGTTCAATGCTGTGCATTGTCAAACTTTGCGCCCAACTTTCATTCAAACTCAGGTTACCGAACAAGCTCTTAGGAATTTTGAAATTGACCGAGTATTACAAAGCATATTTGCATGCGTCATACGAAGCTTACACAGTTATAAACACGTCACGACCCTCACACGAATCTTAACACAGTTCAACCACAGTGACAGCGACATATATTGTAGTTATAAGGTGGTAGTACTATTATATGTACCTCGTTACAGTAACAAATGAATATATGTGCGTTTGAAAATTTTAATCTGCCTCCTAATAATGAGATTTAAGATGGGTGACTCGACAACGGATCACACAATGGATCACACAATGGATCACACAATGGATCAAACGTGAAAACATAGTATATTATACTACAGAGTGCCGTAGCCCTCTTCCGCCATGAAATTGTCATCTAACTCTTCTCCCTCGTCTGCTTCTATCCTATCAGGGTCCTCCTCCTCCTCCTCTCCATCTCCTTCCTTCTCTTCCTCTTCCTCTTCCTCTTCCTCTTCCTCTTCCTCTTCCTCTTCCTCTTCCTCTTCCTCTTCCTCTTCCTCTTCCTCTTCCTCTTCCTCTTCCTCTTCCTCTTCCTCTTCCTCTTCCTCTTCCTCTTCCTCTTCCTCTTCCTCTTCCTCTTCCTCTTCCTCTTCCTCTTCCTCTTCCTCTTCCTCTTCCTCTTCCTCTTCCTCTTCCTCTTCCTCTTCCTCTTCCTCTTCCTCCTTTACCACCCGCGCCCCATCACTTTGCAGGAACTCATCCCATTCGCGAGTTATCTTGTGGCCGATACCTCCCCCTCAGTACCACATAAACATATCTCTATCTATGAACCTATAAATAGATAGATCAATTAAGTAGAAGTCGATAGGCGCAGCGCACTCACATGTTTACATAGAAATACACCCAATCTTGATTTGAATCTGCCTCGTGTCGGACAAATGAGTGGGGGAGCAACTCATCAGTCTTGCCAAATTGAAAAGCTGGAATAAGATGAATCCCTCGAATGATAACATCAGGGTCCAGGAAACCGAAGGCGCCGGGATCTTCGCCAACAAGAAAGCCAATGCGATGCAACCGTTTTGCAGACCACCCAGACTGGCAATCTCCATCGCGTCCTGAACCATCGCACGAATAGGAAATCCATCCGATGCGGTTTCTCCATGAATGCATCATTGCGATCCCAAACATCGACTGTGGAAGATCCGGATGATCCGCGCATACCAATAAGGGTGTTGTGCGTCATCGGTCTTGTGCGACATAACCATAATGTCGGCACGGGTGCGTGGGTTGAGTGAGTCTTGCTCTCGCCGTAAGTCGTAGGTAGTGTAGTTGATCTGGAGGATGCTGTGCTCGTGGAGTTTGTTATTAGCGATAATGATCTGGGACTGTTCTTCGTCAGTGAATTCAAGCTCTTCTCCGGTGTACTCAATCCCACGAAGACGTGCCAGAAGATGATCTTTGAGTCTTGGAATAAAGTCCTATTCCTCCCATCAGATGAAATCACTCTAAAAGATTATAAAAAAGATGCACCACTACTGCTTGATCATTTTCTGGCAGTTCACTTAGCCATTCTGTGAGATCGTGTGAGGTCCTAGCATACTTAGAAATATGGTAGTGATCGGCTGGTGACTGTCCGATCGCGTTGGCGGCGCTGTGATACGGCATCACCTTTGTTTGATGTCAATGCAGCTCGTGCCTTCACAATCTTTCCCAGCAATCGTTCCCTAGTCTCGATCCGTGTCATACTTGACACGGTGTTCTGCTTGCCCTTGGGTGTTTTCGGATACCAGCGCTTCACGCGCCGATGCTGAAGTTCACCCTAGTACATATTCAAATAGTATGATCAGTATATATACTACATATGCATTCAAATGAAAACTTACTGGCTGCAGTGCTGAAGCTATCAGTAGTACCAAACTGTCGGATCGTATCGGGATAATCTCCCAACGCGTGATACTTGTAGGTGTTGAGATTGAGTTTCTTGTGCTTCGGACCCGATAGAACCGCCTTGCCCTTGCCTTTTAGGTCTGCTTCTGGAAGCTTGGAGGCTAATGCAGCTTCCCGTCGTCCACGTGTTGCGTATTCGTGAGGTAGCTCCGTTGTATAGTAGCGCTCACATGTCGTACAGGCAAATCTTCGTATCGTCTGGCCCAGAACAGCTGTGGCATTGTCGAGGAAGTTAAGAGTGTCCTCGGTATGCATGCGCAACTTTGCAAACCCGTGCCAAGTTGCCAGATCGAACAGAAGGTCTAGAACCATTTTATTGTCGTCATCTGGCAGTAAGCCCTCGAACACAGGAAGCGCACACTATAAATAAACCCAGATCATCAACAACTATATCAAGGAGTTTGGGACCAATACTTACCTGCAGAAGATCCTCAAAGTCCCTTGCAGCTAAGCGTTTCATTGACGACGCATTTGAATTAAACTTTCGTATGGTTCCCCTACCAAAGGTTGGCGTAGCACGATATCTATTAGGATCTATCAGTAGATGTAATGAAAATTTGAAAATACACACCTCTTATTGAGCTTCTGGACGGAATCTCCACCAGCTGCATGTAAAATGCGCATTAAATGAGTGAAATTCACCTTCCACACACCGAGTTCGAATTCATGAAGTTCATCAACCACGAACATTCGAAAACGGTTGAATCCGTAAGGTGACAACTTTACAGAAAATGAATTCTATACACATCATTAGTTATTAGACAGTGAAGCAATATAACAGACTTACTCGAGTTGGTACCAATGACTCGTCATTGAGAATATTCTTGACGCGTGTCCCATCAACAGGCACACCCAACTGAAAAATGAGTGCCTAGGCATCATCAACTTCTCGGAGGTGTATCCTGTCATCCTTTCGCATGCGCCTGATCCGACGTTTCATATCTACCTTTGATCCCATCAAAGGAATCTCGTTCTTCTTCGTGAGACAGCAGTGGACAAGCGCATTGTCCGAGATTTTTGATGCCTGTAAGAATAACTCTAAGAAGCATTAGTAATATATAAGTGTTCGAGAATGAATTAATGTACTCACTTCTCGGGATAGTCGGCTGAGTATGTGAAAAACCTAGGGAACACTCTACGAGTGATCCCATCGCTACATTTTATTACTATACCGTACTGATAGGCATGCATAAACTTGTCATCCAGCAGTAGATCCCATATAGCCTGCATCAACTCGCGTTTGCAATGCGTGAAGACCTGGCTAGTTGAAGGCTCGCCAAAAATAAACATGTACTGATCTTGTAGATCTTTGGGCAACTGAAGATCGGTTTAGAGTTAGATGTATTCATAGACATAAATAAAGAACTTACTGAAGGAATGTATGCGACATGGTGACATGCGGAGGCGGTTGGTTTGCCTCGGGTGTACTTTGATTGGTTGCCAAAATACAGATAGAAAGGCCATAGTGAAGCGTCGCCGAAATTCGCCAGATGAGTAGCGTCGGACCAGAACATTAGTGAAGCGACGACCCGCTCAAGGTCATCTCCAGCTTCACGAGGCAGATCATTGATCTCGGCGTAGATCTCCATCATCTCGGCGCTGGAATAGGCCTCCGAGAAGACCTCAATGTCCCGACCGTCCGGAGATTTCCAGAACTCACGATAGGGCGTCATATTGAAATTCATAGTGATGTCATCCTGGAAAACAGACTCAATGATGTCAGTGATCGAGCAGTGATAGACTCCGGGGATTTCGAGCTCTGGGGCCTCAGTCTCGGTATTCCACTTTTTACCCTCTTTGGGCAGCCTGATCTTGACGGCAGATCGGCGCCAGCCAAATTCCTCGCGGAACGGATTGGACTTATCCTGCAAATATAAATCAATGTTCTTTGATTCCCGTTTATGGGAAAATGAGAGAGCATCACTATGATCGAATAGCGGATCACCAATGAAAGTGGTAAGTCGTTGTAGCTCTGCGACGGACTGCTGGCCGGTCCCGGAGTAATGATAGGCCATGAGTAGGCCGGAAGTGGGGTTTGAGAAAGCTGTGTAGAGATCATCTTGACTGATCTCCTTAGATGACAAGCCCTCAGTGATCCGACTGGAGCTGGGAATCCGGTCACCTCCAGCAAGTGTCGGAGCATCGGTAACACTTTCAAGGGTATTTTCAGTGGGGTGTACACTGGGGCGGGTAGGGTAAATTCGGTAGAGCCCTGCTTTGTTAGGTTCAGTCTCAAAGGGAATAAAAAGGGGCGGGTCATCATGCTCTGATTGCTGTGGGGATGGAGTACGAGGCAGGGGGTCCATATGTTGATCCGTGATGACATCATTGTGATGTACACGTTGCTGACGGTCGGAGAGCGGCATATGGGCAAGGTGAGTTGCAGACCCTGGCAGAAAGTCTGCGAAGCGAGCGGGCATGCGGATTCTGCGTCCAGAGCACTGCGAGACGATAGGTTGGGGTGAGGGAGATGGTACATGCCCCATTTCAATCTAGCAAACATGTAGTTAGCACAATCCCACTTGATAAATCAAATCAATACATACATTGTCTTCCTGATCGATATACATGTCATCTTGAATATCTTGCTGATCGGGAACTACAACCTCTTCAGGAATGCGATCGGGAGACTTGTCATGACGTGCTCTCTTTTCTTTTCTTTTCTTCTTCTTCTTCTTCTCCGACTTGCGTTTCCGACTGAAAATTTGATCAGTAAGGGAGAAATTGTATGCGCATTGACTTGTATGCGCTGATAGCTGTCTGCGTGAACTAAATGTTGAAGCACACGCTAAACAGCAGAGATCGCGGGCCATGGGGTGTCAGGACCGGGGAATGTTTCAAAACTTACGAGTCAGGCAAGAATATATAGAACCATGTGTATTTGAATCAAAAAGAACATACGAGTAGCTAGTAGATATCCAAAATTAACAGAACGTACCTCATGTCCCAAGAGAGAGAATCGCTGGAGCTCCACATGAGCATGTAAATCCCTCACTGGGATAATTACACCGGGCAAGAGGTGCCTATGCATATTCATATGAAGTTAGCACGAGGGTTTCCCAAGTTTGAGACTTACCTCGGTGATCAGTAAGGGCATACGATAGGACATATGACCGAAAGTAATAATATATATAACAATATAACAAATTACATACGATCAACATACAATCATGGTTGATTTTCAAATTCAATCTCCGTCAGGTTCTCCCGGTTGGTTTGTATTAAGGTCTTGCGTCGGTTGCTATCTTTATCCAACATTAATATCAATGTCTAACGTCACTGCCTGACGACGCCTGGACATCTGTGGTAAACGTCTTCGGGGATGTCATATTCGTTGATATCCAGAATGCAGTCTCCTTAGACAATACTTACTGCTTTAATCTCAATCTAGATTCTCCGGGTCCTAAGGTATTTTTTTTTTTCATTTGAAAACTAATCTAATGATTGTATTAGAAAATAGTCTTTCGCATACGTCAACAGGTCACAGATTCTGACACGGAACCTGAGATGGATTCTGGTGCCTCGGAGCTGGAAACTGAAGATGTGGAGGAGGGTGGGAATGACGCGGAGATGAAAACCGAAGACACAGAGGATGAAAATCTGGCCGCAATCAATCCAGAATTTCAGTAAGTTGTCAGTATTTCATTTGGAATTTTAACTCAGTGACCTTTCTCAAGGCCAGTTGTTGCGTCTCCTTGCGACCTTCTCACCAGGCGCGCTGGGAACCCCAATCCCAATCCTGCAAATCCCACTGCGCCATGGAGTTATTATGTCAAGGCAAGAACTGAAACGCCAGACTTGGACTCCTCAGATGAGGAGAGCGTGTAACATCTCATTTTTTTAGTGTACTACATGTATATTACGAGACCTTGCTCAAATGTTACTTTGTATTGCGTGTCGCATCATATGAATCTCATATGTTATTAATAGATCTATCTAAACAAACAGTTATCAATAACACGTATCAATAATGCGTTGAATATCGCGCAATCTTATCTCTCTTTCTCTCACCAACACCATGGCTCGGCGCAAATGCTCTGACTCGATTTCATCCGCTTCCTCATCTGGATCTTCGGGATCTAGCTCTTCATCTACGAGCTCCGAAGATTCCAGAATCAGTACTCCTCCTAGCACACCACCCCCTCGGGTACCTAGCAAACGCGGAAGAGACACGTCGGACGCGTCCAAATCATCTGACAAGGGCGGACGTAAGTCCAAAAAGGCCAGGTGAGTGATGCTGCCAGTTGTTCGGATCAGAACTCACCTGCACCATATAGGAGACATAGCCCTGTAATGATCGATAAGAAGAATGAAAAGCCAAAAAGGTGAGAGATTTTTTATTCATCTACATTTCAGATTGACGAGATTCTAGAAGATCGCGTAATAAATTACTTACGCCGCGGGAGCAGTGTATCCACGTTGCACGCTGGATCCCACGCGGCCTAGACATGTTCTGCGATCTCAAGCAGATGATCCAGGTATGTCTACTTTTAGAGCAGGAAGAAGCCGCTGAGGATGGAGATGAAACGGAAGAAGAGCAAATCAAGGCTGCTCGGAAGAAGATTCTGGATGACTGGTATGTATAGTATATGACCGCATATATGCGCACTAATATTGTTTTTAGTGATGAACTTACGCGTGCGTGGTACAAGCGGACGTTCGAATACGTCATGGGACACGCTCCTTATCTCGAGACTCTGATTGGCCGGAGGAAAAAACGCGAGGAGCTCACGCAACTCATCGGCGAGGTGCGTAACTTTCAATTGTACTAATCAGAGCTAACTATTTACAGATGCAAAATATGATAAATCATACGCGCTCTGAGGATGCAAGTTGCCTCAGGTCACGCATGGGCTCATACGCAGCCCCAAACCCCGACAAAGACGTTGTCCGCCCTCCAATCACTGACAACAGCAAGAGTCGTGCCCAAATGGGATTCAACCACGCCCAGCTGGGCAAAATGCTTTGTCCGGTTAAATATCTGACTGACTACATCAAGGATCCGCATGGGTATATTCTATTTTTTTTAATCAGTTGTATTAACGGTAGGCACTACAGGATGAAGACAAAATTCGATAGCGGGTCATTGAAGGTAACCACTGCCTTGTGGCCCGCTTATCTCTATCCAGGCGACATTGCGGGCGAAGACTTCGACTCCAAAGATATACTTGAAGGGCTTTTTCGTGGATATCTTTTGGAGCGAGTACGTTTTTTTTATTCAATTATATCGGACGACTCTAATATATACAGGTTACTAAACACGTATTTACATCTCCATCATCTGCACTCAAGGCCGGCGTCTCCAATGGCACACGTGCTTGCAATGCGAAACTCCATGGAATGGCAGGAGTGGAGGCCGAGCATATCGCATATGCTGCGGTTCAGGTAAGTGTTTGTTTTTGACATGGACTTCACTTACTTAGTCTGTACTGTACAGGCTCGCTTCGCGATCAGTTCGCTCGATAAATGGAAAGATCAGGACGCCTTATTTTATTATACTGACTTTTATACCAGAATAGTTAACTTAATTCGGGGGAGGATAGATGGGGAGTGGGTCGACTCCCTGCTAGGACATTATAACAAGTAAATAATTTTCTACACTATTCTCTTATCTAACACGGATCCAGGATATTGTTTGGCAGTGAAAACGGTGCCAGACCTAGTCACTCTGCAAATGTCGAGTGTTTGGAGGACGACGACATGATCGCCATAGAACGGCAGCTTGCAGCACATGCAGCACGGGCTTCCGGATCCTCGGACACGACGTCTACACAATCTTCGGTACTCGATAAGCAACAAGAGTCGCATCGCAAGTCCTCTACTCCTGATAGGCTGCCCCCTCCAGATTCTCCTGTAGGCCAAGCACTAGCTAATCCTCCGTCACTTCCTCCTGTCAACTCGCACGAGGAGACGGTCTTACCTGCACCACCCCCTGCCCCCGATCCTCCTGTCAACTCGCACGAGGAGATGGTCTTACCTGCACCACCCCCTGCCCCCGATCCTCCTGTCAACTCATGCAAGCAGAAAGCTTCCGCACCCAATGCGGCCACTTTCGATGACGACAGTCCTCTGACGGAAGAGGAGGAGGAGGAGGAGGGGGTTCGGCCTACTAAGCGCAAACGACTCAGAAAGAGCGGTGTTGCTGTCCCACCCAAGAAGGCTTCGAAACGCAAGTCAAGGAAATAATTTGTTCAAGGTAAGTCGCATTACTCTCGTAGTCCGTTTGATACTTATGACCTTCGCTCACTTCACGTTCTAGCTACCGCATCATTTTCCCGTCTTCCTTTGCATTCACATTCATACCACCACGCTGACCCATCTGCTCGTATGCTTTATTCACGGACTAATACACATCTGCTCGCATCCTCTCATAGACTTCGTTTTTCGCTGCAGTCTTCAATGACATCACGCATATGCTCTTGATCGCCATTTTCAAATTCAGTGCTCATGTCCAGACGATCGGTACGCAGTTACCACTAGTACATTAGATTATATCCCACTGTATCGCATGTATTCATATAGCTCAATAATATGTGGTTATCATGGAATATCATTGTGATTTGATGTTATAACTAAATATAAGACAATGCAGCCATACAGCGTTCTGGAACATGGCAGCAGGTATATCACGCGATCTGGAACATGGCTGTGACCATATCATAAAAATCGATTCGGTATATTGGTATGTATTCTAGGCGCTGTTATAGATACTAGGCACAGTCGTTACAGTGTGTTACAGTGTTTACATGTGTATATAAAGTTATACATACGTTGGACAGTTTTGGTGATGTATCTCCGCATATTTGACACAGCCACTTGGCAGGTGCCGTCCTTGAGCGCTTGAGGTCATCTTGTAGACAATGTACACCGTGACGTTTCGTCAGTACTAGTGCCATCTCCTTGCTTCCGAATGAACTCCTTGTGAGTGCATCACGGGATAAAACAGCACATTTGTGGCATCTCGATACCAACCTCATGCATGAGCTTTACATCAGATAAAGTTTGATTTTCATGCTCACGGTTCTTAGTAGTGAAATCTACGATAATCTCCCAGTCGCAAGTTGCAGCTCAAGAGTCGCTAATGGATGTACGTGATTTGTTCCTCAACTTTCGGAATGACTGTAGCCTTGATATCTTATTTAGGTGCATACGGCCTACTCCAAATGCTAGTCAGTCACGTCCAAAATATACCCTTTCACTGTCCGTCCAATTGTTGCTTCATCTCATGCTTTTATCTGCTATGCATCTCCTCAACACGTCAATAAAAATGTACGACCAATGCAGCAGCAGCAATGCCAATCACAGGGTCAAGTTTAGGCCTCATCACAGATTCAGCCTGCTACTGCCTCGACACCCACGATACTAGTACTGCTACATCATGTGCAGCGATTGTGTAGTCGCGACCTCTTCCACTGCGAGTTCGCTTCTTGCTGTTGGTGCATCTCCTCCACACGCCAATGGTCATTAATACAGGTGCACAGCTGTTTCACATTTTTTCCTGTCCTTCTGTACTCTTAACTAAGTGTCTCGATCTCGCTCCCTCGTCCTGAAATTCGTGCACTGCACCGAACTCGTCAATGCTGATCGTCGCGAGAAAAACATTCTGAGATCAATGAAGTCGTCGAATGTTCGGGACCTAGCGCGGATTATATAGTTTTCCTACATAACCCATTGCCCGTCCAGATCTTCATCGATCAGTGTCGATCATCCATCTGTGTTGTTGAACAATACACTTGCGAGAACTGCATTATCATGCCCATTCAAGATGTTCCGGCTTCATGAATGCCATATCGAAGGAGCTGCTTCCTGTCTGGACGTTGCAGATCTCATTCTTGCCGTACTTGAGTGGCGTATTAGATATAATAGGCTACATCCAACCAGTTAATCATTACAACGCGAGTCCGAACTTTCTTGAATCTCAAGTAGTCAGATGAGCAAACCAACACCAGGAAACAACTTGATAACTTGAACATGCATGCACGTTAGACTCGAAAACATAGTACAAGCGTCTAGCAAAATAACAACAGTCTAACCAATTCCAACCGATTCCATACACAAATGAATATTGCCCAGCATTATACATCCTAATGTGTTCTAATTGCACACCCATGCTTCTCACCGCGACAAGGAGGAAATATATTCAAATTCCGTAGGCGGCGTAACCTTAATATCTTTGTGGTCGTACTCGTATGCGCCATTTGTGTGGTTAGCTTGACTCTGTTTCTGCGCAACGAGGGCACAGAGGGCGGCTGAGACACAGTTAGACTGAAGAACAGAAAGCTGATGTAATTAGACTTACCACCCGCACCGCTCCCATCCTTGGCCATGCCAATGTCGACACGGCTTTCCACTTCGGGCCCAACAAGCGCTCTTAACGATGCTCGCAGCTTGGATTGGAAGTTAGGATAGAATTCGACCAAGCTTATCACGTCCTGATTAGCAAGAATTGAATAGAAAAGGTACTACTCCTACCTTCCATCTACACCAACACCGATCCTTCTGCCTTGATCCTTCAGCCCAGCAGAACTTTGCTCCCCGTGGTCCCACAACCGTGCTCGCCCGGTATGGACCAATATAGCGGCTATAGCCGTTCCACTCAAGCGTGCAGCTCTTGATGCTATCAGAGTGCACACTTGTCTGACAATGTCCGCATCCGCAAGGGAAATTTCGGGAGGGGACAGCTCTAGCCGGTGCGCCAGTATTCCTTGTATCCGCCGCAACTTTTCAGCCTTTTGAGCTTCTGGGGAACCTTGTTCTGGCAGAGAGAATTGCCCAAGACCTTCCCATGCCTCTTCGATCTCGCTGAGAACTGCAGTGTCCAATCCCCATTGCTTATTCAGTAGAGCCGATGACTGACCTCCGAAGAGGAGGGGTTTTGGAGCGGCATCGATCAAACTAAGAATCACGTTTCGGGCGATTTCCCCCAGATACATCCCCGAAATGAATTTCTCGAAGGCCTGGAAACGTGGGTTAATAGACTCACGGTCCAACTTGTTGTCATATGGAGTCGTTGGTAAGGCAGATCGCTGCAGTCCGCCATGAGTAATCAAAGTGATGAGATAAAAGCAGAAGATGATTCACAGAGTTGTTGAAAGCGCCCCACTCAGTATTCACAATCATTTCACCACCTGCGGCGACTGAGGGGTTCTGGCCTAATTTCGTGATCTTGGAGACATCCTCGACATAAGCCCCATTAGTCCCTGTTCCAAAAATAGCACCTAGGATGCATCCGCCAGACGTATATGCTCGCGAAAGAAGAGCTCCAACGGTCTGTAATGAAAAGTCTCTCGTCAGTATATACGGTCGCGTGCGAAATCAACATATAGATCTGATGAAGAATTACAGAATAAAGAATATTGACTGACGTCGTTGACGAGAGCCACACACTTGACATGAATATGTTTCCGATCAAACGCGTCTTGAAGAAGCTTTACGACGTCCTTTCCAATGGCGTTTTTTGCAGAAAAACCTTTGGTCCAGGTGAGAAGAACGCCTGAATCAAGGGCGGATTGTTCCACAGGGAAAGAGAACGTAAGGGCCAGGGGAACATATGGACTGTCCTCATCGGCGTGAGATACGTGAGAGTTGTAGTCTTGAGAGGGGGTGTCCGTGAGGAAAGCATCCACGGAGTCGGCAAGATAGTCTGAGAAAATATTGAATAGCAGTGGCGAGGGAAAGCACAAGGGCCTCACCGAAAAGAGTGGTCACCTCACCAGTCTTGAGGGTCTCAGAGACTTTGTATTTTTGCTGTCGAAGGGAGAAGGTCTTGTCTCCGAGTAGAGTGACCTCGCAAACGCGACTGACAATCCATAAGGCAAGTGGAAATATAGTAGGACTTTGTACTCACAGGTTTGTCCCACCAAGATCGAGAGCGAGGAACGTTCTAGGATATTTAGTCGGGTGCAGCAATATGTGGGGTGATTGACATACCCCGTTTCGGAGCCATCTGGTACACCCTTAACAAAGGTCGGACTATCTGACAATCAGATGGGAGCAAGACGTAAAGGGAGGGTACGTACATCATGGCCATGGCCCGACCATAATTGGATAGACCATCGGAGATTTCTGAGAGGAATGTTTGGGTGATCTTGAAGAGACGCTGATCATCGATAGTAAACTGATTGTAGAGAGACTCGAGGACATCGTCCTGTGCGCTGCCATGAAGCGCGGTTGTGTGTGACATGGCGGGACAGGACAGGAGAGAAACGGACTGAGAGAGTGTGAGCAGACTATCTTAAGATATGATAAGCTAAATCCACTTTAGTAAAAACGTCATTCCTTGAATTCACAACGACCACTACTAATATGCTATTGGACACCAAACCCAAGTAGTCCACCAATCCTCGCTCAAATGTCAATCATGTCCCAGTGCACAATCCACGCACGGTTTTCGAGAATCTGCGTTCGCGAGTTAGCTTTCGGAACTAGTTCGGATTATTACTTCGCTTCGAGGTTGAGAGCGTCGTTTATCGCCTTTGCCATCGGTCCGAGTCGCACATCACCGAGCAACAGAAAATCGAGCTCCAGCTCATATCAAGTTCATCTGCCTGACTTTCTCAGAGTTCTCGCCTGAAAAAGATGATCTCCGAACTTTTAATACTATGTACTTAATACTTGAGAATATAATAAGTATCGGTGTCCTTTTCTGGATGCGGCCGAGTGTGTGTCGTGGTCACTTATTGGAAGTCCATTTACATATCATCGCCCATGGCTATCGACGGTCTGATAATCCTAGATCCAACAGGGTATGGTTCGCCGTCTTTGCTTATTGGTTACCATAATCACAAGTTTCGCATACAGGCGTCCCATCATCCAATCCAGTTACACCACTTATCCGGCAGCGTACCCCTTATTGCACATCGAAGCATTAAACAACGCACTAGCAAAGGCTCCCCGCGAGGGTAGCGTGGACCCGGTTATATACGTCGGAGAGCTATCGTGTTCTAGTGCGTGCTGCCATGTCGAGGTTGGCGGGATGAGATTCCTTGCGACCATCAGTGGAGACGGTGAGTGCTCAGCGGCTCGGTCATGAATAGAGTTTTTGGGTTTTTATTGGGTAGCAACTGACAATACTATATCAGTGGATCCCCTCATTGCATTCGCCTTTCTCGACACCTTCACTGAAATACTCCAAGACTATTTTGGCACAGTCAGTGTTGCAACTCTCAAGGACAACTTTGACATTGTATACCAGGTTCGTGGACGTCTTCCACTGTCTGATATTTACTTGCATTGAATATGCGTCTTGGACTCACAGCTTCTCGAGGAAACGCTTGATTCGTCCGGCCACCCGCTGACAACCTCACCGAACTTGTTGAGCGATATAGTACTCTCACCTTCCTTAATCTCGAAGCTTCTCGCCTCGGTGTCAGCTACTCCAGGAGTTCCAAGCGCGAGACAAGGAGGCTAGTCCTATCTGTTTTGCAGTTGCTGGGAACTACATTAACATACTCGGTAACATAGGTTCTTTCGGTTCAAATGGTGCCAGTGGAGCTTTTACATCGCCGATACCATGGCGTAAAGCTGGGGTTCGGCATAATCATAACGAGATCCTTTTTGATGTTGTTGAAGAAATGCGAGGCATCGTCGGCAAGTACGCTCGAAGTCTATATCACCCTGTCTTTGCTGTTAAAACTGTTCAATGACAGGAATGGCACGCCGTTAGTGAGCAACGTTTTCGGCAAAATCGAGAGCAATTCAAAACTTTCGGGGACACCCGACTTGACATTGACATTCACGAATCCTAACGTGATGACGGAGTGCGCGTTTCATCCATGTGTACGGTGAGTGGTATTTTGAATCTATGATCTTCGTAGCGTTATCTCTGAATACTGATTTGTGACTCGACTTCAGGTTACAGAAATGGACACGCGACAACATCTTGTCCTTTGTACCTCCTGAGGGGCGATTCATTCTTGCAGACTATCAGTACAGACCACCACAAGGCACGCTCATCAGTAACGTGCCCATACCACTTTCCCTCAAAGCGAATATGGACATGGGAGAGTTCGGCGGTAAAACTGATCGCTGATGTTTTGAAGTTATAACTGACACTGCGCAGGAACATTCGCACTTACGTTGACCTCGCGTTTGATTAAAGTGATGGAGAATCTAGAGCTGAAATTCTATCTTGGAGAAGATGCGACGAGCGCGCAGTGTACACTGTCAAGTGCAGGTTCTAGCGTAGGATCTGTGGGAAGCGCAGATGGTTCATGGTCGTTTAATTCGAGAACAAAGGTACGCTTTGCCGGTTCTTCTTACTGTACAAAAAATCACTCCCTTTAGACGCTCAGATGGGAGATTCTCAATATGCGGTCTTCGGGGAGCTGGATTCTTCGAGGTTCATGGACGTCAAAGTAGGGAGCGTTGCCTTCACAATAATATGTGATGCTTATAGTTGCCCAGAATCAAAGCCCCGCGTCCAGCACACGCTTTCCAAATAGGTTTCGAGATACCCTCTTACAGCTTCTCCTCGCTCAAGGTCGATCAGTTACGGCTCTCAAGCGAGACGTACAAGATGTACAAGGGAGTGCGGATGCGCAGTAAAGGGTCGATCGAGTGGAGATGGTAGCCAGCTTAGCACACTGGCTATTTTGTGTATTTCCAATCGTTGCACGGTGCAGACTTAGATTGTCGAGTCCCCTGAGAGCTGGCGCAATTGTTTCTGTGATGAGTTGCATTGTTCACAGCAGTAAGTTCGCATATGGACATCTCTAGCATTTCGATGACATTATCGAGGCGGACATAGAGCTCTCTGACACAATCTGTGGAGTAATTATACTCGGTAAGTCAAATCTGCTTTCAGTGCCAGACCTTATCTGATTCGTCAACTGAAACAAGAGGGTCAGCTATGAAATAGGACGCGATATACTAGCGATATATTCCCGAAATTGATTGCTGCCGCGCAAAAGAGTTCGATGCTCAGCCACTTGTAAGTACCCCTTCAAATCGGCCAAGTGATCATGTCAGTCTCGTGTATCAGACCTTGAAATATGGGAAGGCAATCGTTCCTTCTTGTTCAAGTGCATGTCCCGAACGTTGACGTTTCGTCACAAAGGTCTGATTGACAGATGGGTCTATAAAAGGAACGGGACGATTTGGTGAACTTTGCGATTTCTTGTGCTGGTGCCTTTAACCCGGGCTCTGTTTCATTTTGATCTCAACAAGGAACAAGTATTGACATGGCGTAAGAGAGATAGATGAGTAGAAAAAGCAGGTCAAGACGTCACCTGCTGTGAAGGACGTGCTGGCTAATTCAAATTAAGCTTATCCCCACTAACCAATCAACCAAGATTTTTACAGGCTGGCGTTTGGCGAATCTCGAGCGTACCTTGTTCGTGTCATCCGCAGATTTGTGACACGGCGTCTGTGAGCATACTTTCGCCCTGCCTTGATGCATCTGGTAACCGCAAGGTGTTGGAGATCGACAGAGTGGTGGATACATCACTACGAGTGAGAGTGAGGCTCTTCAATTGCAACGTGTGCTTTTCGTTCCAAATTATGGGAGGCCTACTCATCTATTTCAGGGGATTCTGGTGTTCCCGGGTTCAAAACGTTCCCAAACGTTATAGAGGAAGAGGAGGATCACACGATAAGAACGTCGCACACCGTGCTGTCTTGTAGACTACGTTTCCCTGCAGTTATTTACCATAGATTTTCCCATTCGAGAGAGGACCTTTACACTCCGGCAGATCACGAGGCACTCAAAAATGTGTGCATCGAGGGCTAATAGATATTAAGCGTGTACTGCTCTATGGAGTGATGAACGACACACATCAACCGCGTCAATGATAATGTTGATAGTAGCAGCGAGTCCGAGAGATGAACATCCTTTGACGCGCCCATTAGTGGTCAAAATTCCCGTCGTGGCAAAAGCAGGACTCTTATCATCATCCGTGGGAATCTGTACTATATTGGCCGTCAGTAATTGCACGTCTGTCTTGTCCACCACTCCCGAAGTTATCCTCAGCGACGGTCTGCGTTGCTATACTCTTAAACCTACAAAGATGTTTGGATGGTTGTTTCACCTCGGCTTAGATGCATTCATTATCAGTGCATTCCTCGCTGGCATAAGACGTTCAACAGGCCTTACGTACGTCTACCATGCTGCTGATCACGATACTAACCCTCATACCGCTGTAGACCTGCACTATCTCAAGTTCCTAACAAGGACATTCGTCGTGAGTCCCAGCTCTGTGACCTGAACTGAGAACACTTATTCACACGTCGTATTCGGCTAGAGCTGCTACGGTCGTATCTTGAAGTCGGTCAGTAAACTGTCCCAGCTTATCGACTCTTTCATTTGCTCATGTGCTTTAGGTGAATACGCATTCGACTTTGCAGTCGTTGTATTCGGGGTGCGTGGCGGACATACTATCATCCTATCTCACTGGACGAGACTGACAACCGCGTACAACAGCGCTCCAGTTATTTCGAGAGGAGGCATTGAGTTTCCCAATTCCCATATGTGTTTCTCCTGCCATTCCGTGATAACAGACCACACTCATAGCTTTGTAATATTTTATTCCGACGGACACATAATTTGCTTACAGCCTTGAGCTTAATGAGCGGGTTGCAGTAGAATCGTGTGCTTGCGCGACCAGTTCCATCTGATTTTATACACGTTTATCCGAGGAAATTAAATACGAAGAAGTGCAGCACAATAGAGCCAAGGGCAAAGTCTGCAAATGCTCTGCGCCGAGAATTAGGATCTATGAAAGACATAAGAAAGGATACAAATACCTTTCAGGCGAGACTTCCTTGAACTCAGATCTGTTTTCGGGGTTGACTTGTGCGCGGAGGGATGCAGTGAGAACGAATTGGCCTACTGAACTTGCAAACCTGTGAAAACACTCAATACGTGTCTGACACGCTAACCAGTAAACTCACCCAGCAAGGAATGCATTGAAAGGATAGTTCGTGACAAGTACGCAATACACGAACTGCAGTACTCCGCTAAGCACAGTGAACGCCAAGTAAGCGTCGATGAACTTGAGGCGGTTGGGGGTCTGATCAAGGTATGATTTCCATAACGTTGAAACTGCCACATAGGTTTCCGACGACGCAGGTGAGGTCTTTGAGGATGACTTTGGGCCAGCCATGTTGAACGAGTGACGGCTAACAAACTGCTTTACTTGAAAATGACCACGACGTGGAGGAAACAGTCTCGTCCAAACAAAGAAGGCCGGCAACTTGACAAGACCCCGACCCGTTCAAAAAATAAGTCCTCCACTAACTTGCACTCATCCAAGGCCGAGCTACCTTCTACATAATTTGTAGTCGCCATTCTTCATCATGAGCAGTGCTGGTCTGCGTCGAGCGTCGTCCTCCCTTACCGGTGCATTGTCTGCATGGAAGAGCACAAAATGTCCAAGGCAATTTTGGGGTGCACGGAGACACCTGCACTCTCGCATAGAACTTGACTACAAGGTCGATGAGGGCCTCGGAAATTTTATGTCGCCAAGGACGCTTAAAATGGTTTCCGAGGAGTACCAACAAGGTTTGCTCGACCGGTTGAACGAGATGTTCCCTGGTAAGCGAGGTTTTATGAGCAGCTTGCTTCCGACTTACGCATGTACAGATGCTGCTGACCAGCGAAAGAGCGTCACACAACTCGTGATCGACACTGCTAGCTCTGGAAAAGACGCCCTCGGCTTCTCCTATGCAAGTCACGCCCTCAACAATTCGTTCTTCCTCAACTGCCTTGTATGTCCAACTCCCCCATCGGGCTATTTCACGATACTAATTTACTTGACAGAGACCTCCCAAAAATGATGAAAACTTTGAAGATAAAATTCACAATCTTTCCATAGCCCCATCCATCCGCACCCAATTCGGTAGCTTCCCGCATTTCATCAACAACTTTTCTTCTGCCGCTAGAGGAATGTCGGGGTCGGGATACATCTGGTTTATCACGGACGCCGTGGGCAACCTTGCCATTCAGCCCACCTTCGCTGCCGGTACGCTTCTCGTTCGTTCGCGTACGTGCACAGAAGACCCTGCGGGTCGTCATCAGGTGCTTCACGAGGGCAGGTTCCGCGACGGCCCACAGCCAACGCACTTGAACACAGGGCTGAGCAGTACACCCACATCACCCACATCAGGCATGTCCCAGGGCCCTGCGCCACTACACCCCTCTGCCCCCCTACGAACACTGCACTCAGCGCCACGCAGTCACCTAGATGGCGCGCGTTCTATATATGATGAACAGCCCGCAGATCGGGGGGCTGACTCTTCCATGAGGACCCTACGTAACTTGGGCGAAAAGATCTACCCTTTGTTCTGCATCAGCATTCACGAGCACTGCTGGCTTCTCGACCATGGAGTGTGGGGCAAGGAGAAATATATGAAGGAGTTCTGGAGCGTGCTGAACTGGGAAACAGTCAATGAACGGTACACGAGATTTATCAATACGAAAGTGGGCCCTCAGCCATTCCGAAACTAGCTCCAGAAATTCAGGGCGCTGTGGCATAATTCACTGCTCAATCTACTTAGATCTATAACGTCCATACTTATACCGTTTTAAACTTTTCCGCATAGCGGAGTGCCATGGATCTCAGTGTTTGATCATAACTTAGTGGGTCGTCGCATCTTGGAGAGGCCTTCGGCAAACCGTTTCGAAATGAAGTGTCCAGCGTGGTATGATTATGAATAATGAGACTATAACTAGTATTGTGAGGGCCTCAGATTCAGAATGTAATTGTAACTGGCTCGGCCATGGAAGCAACTAATTTATCCATTATAATAATTCTTACATATGCAAGTGACTGGAGAAACACTTGGAGAAGGTTAATGTTTAGACAAACAAGGACATCTCACGAGACCGACGTGATGGTTCGATGGAATAGATATAAGACCCAGCATATACACGGTCCATCTTCATAGCTGGCAACAGCCGTTCGCTCGTTCCTGGGTAAAAGCGTCGACCAGCATGACAACACAGAATCCTGACATTCTCTTTGTACCCATGCCATCACAAGACTTGTTGCCTAGCGAGCGTCAGGAAGTTTTTGTACGCAGCTGACTGGCTGGCGGCCACGTGGTTGGTGCGACATAGGCGACAAAAGTGAAGAAACAGACAAATATCATCAACACTATAATAAGTCCTGGATCTGCACAAGCGTGAGCGAGGGTGTGTTGGTTGCTGAGCTTCGACAGTAACTGAATCGACCTTGACTTCTCAGACCTGAGACACTCAAAGATATGCGCATCAAGGAGCTAATATATATGAGAATTTAGTGTGATGAAGGTGAGGAATGACGCACCCATCAACCGCGTTAATAATGATCTTGGTAGTGGTGAGTACTTGAGTCCGAGAAATGATGTTGAACGGACATTGAAAGTGACGTTTGACGCCCATCAACAGTGGTCAAGTTTCCCGCCTCAACTGCTACAACCGCTATGCACATTATAATGCAGACTTCGGCAATGACTCGAAATATTAATGAACACTCAAGCTCAAGCTCCGACTCGAAATGACGCAGCACGAATCTGGACAGTGAAATTGCTCCCACGTCTTTTCCATATGAAGGGCGCCAGCGGACAAAATAGCAAACTGCAGGGAAATTATAGTCTACAAGACAGCGCGGTGTTGTAATAGCTTCTGCAACGTTCTCACCGTGTTATCTTTCTCTTCCTTTATGATATTCGAGAACGATTTGAACCCGGGAACACCAGCATCCCCTGAAATAAATGAGTAAGCCTCCCCATGATCTGGAATGAAAAGCGCACGTTGCAGTTGAAAGGCCGCACTCTCGCTCGTGGTGATATATCCACCACTCTGTCGAATCCGCGCCAGGGCAAAGGGTATCTCTTCTTTATTAGAGCTAGAGACACCATCTGCTATCACATGGACATTATATCCTGCCTCGATAAAATCAAGAGCAGATTGCAACACGCAGACATGGGACTGGATAGAACGATTTGATTAATGAGCAGTCGTTGTAGGGTAAACTAACCTCAATGCCAAAAAGCACCACAGATTTTACCTGTGGGCGTTCGTAGAGTAGGGCCTTTACTTCCGGCGTCACCATGGAGAAGAGCCCTTTCTCGATGGTAGCAAGGAGAAGAGGCCCTAAGGAAGGTAAATCGATGTCGGGGATGGTATTTCCAAGGCCTTTCTTCTTGGATGATTTCATTTTGAAGAGAAAGCACGAGGATGGGCCCACCTTTGGGGTTCTGTTCCGTGACGACCACAGGGATCTCCAACACCTTGCGTATCTTTATGTACTAGTAGTAAAGGAGTGATAGGGTGTCGATCTTACCTTTGCGATCTTGAGCATCTTACTGATTGTCAAGACAAGCTCGTCAAAGCTGAAGATGACATTCTCTGATTCGGAATAACACAACGGTTAATGTATGTTGTTCAGTGGATCCAGAGCCAGGCGTACTGAAACGTGTTTGCACGTCGCAGAGGAAGAATACAGTCTCCTCTGGTACAAGCTTTGCAACTGTGGGCATACTGATAGGCAAAGGCTAAGCGTGAGTAAACTGACCGCTGCTGTTCATGTACTTGATCAAACTTTTGTGCTAAATTTTCGGTGTTTGCCGAACCGGTCCTCTTCATCAATTTGCTTTGGTGTATCGTGTCCCTCCTCATAAAAATGTTCGTTCGTCGGTTGTCATACTCTAGGCAACGGCTTTCTCGTCCTGCTCGTCTTTATTCAACTCCTACAAAGACAGCAAATGCACCTGCTAGTGCATTCGCCCAAGTCCCTCTCCCCCATCCAGAGTATCCTTCCCTGTTGGCTCAGAGGGAAGTAACAGCAACAGCAAACTACCTTGTAGCTATGAACGGCTTCCTGAAGCGCAGAACCCCGTACACAATCTTGCCAACCCCCCTTCCAGATGACCGTGCTTCAGCTTTGAACAGCTTCTACTTCACTGATTCTCCAACTCAGGACCAGCTCGCTGTCATGGATGCATGTTTGCATAACCTGTATGATGTTCCCCGTGCAAAGCAGATCTTCGAGCAGCTTAGAAGCACGAAGTCTCAAGAGCCTTTGCTCGAGTCTCGTATATACAACTCTTTCTTGGAGGCCTATATCCACATGGCATTTGTCAAGGAGCCCGAGGATAGAACTTTGTGGGTCGAGGACGCATGTCATCTCTATGACCTCATGGAGAAGGGTACAGATAGAGTCCATCCGACCGCGTCCACATATGCTATCATGCTGCTAGCGTGGAGACGGTATGCTTCATTCGTTTCCTTATTTTATTACTCTGATCACTCTTTCTAGATTTAATACCGAGTCTGACACGCCCGTCAACCTCTCTGACTTGCCTAACCCGACAACCCTCCTCAGTAACCTCATAGAGCGAGACATTTCACCAACTGCCGTCGTCGCCGATCGCGTTTTGGCATCGTCAGAAGAAGCCTCCGACATCATAAAACTTCTCTCCAAATCTGCAGTAGATCTCAATCACCCTCACATATTAGCTGAACTCGGTCAGGCCGAATTCCTTGGGAGTCATGTCCCAGACCCATTGGAGGGCGTTCCGGAGGTCAAGCCCGTCCTAAGACTCGCTGTACGTATTGTGATCTTTCGTTTGTATCTCTCTCACATCTCCTCAGACACCCTCTGAAGAGGTATTGGACGAAAACGGGAATGTAATACCTGCGCAGTCACAGGAAGAAGTTCCTTTTAATCTCGATAACCTCCGCAAACACTTGGCTCAGGTTACCCTTGCACGACGCGTCCTCCCAGAGGACCTGGCTTCCCGACAAAAACTTTTAGAAGAATCAGTCTACGACGTCGCAGTAGAGCGTCTCCATCACGAAGCTAAACTTTTCGACGAGCTAGGTCTAGGCAAGCGCGAACTTCATCGTGCAGATTTGCAAAAGTGGATGTGGGACTGGCACCAAAAGCTCAAAACGCGTCTCGAGGCAGAAATAAAAGAGATAATTGCTGCGGAGGCAAAAATATGTAAGTATATATACGCCTGTCAGACCTTTATATTAACCACCCGCTAGCTACAAAGAATCAAGTACAACAAATGGGCCCCTTCCTCTCTCTTGTCAAGCCCGAGAAACTTTCCCTCATCACTATCCTTGAGATCATGCGCCTCCAAGGGAGTGGTGGTGTATCGGATGGGATGAAAACTGCCCGTGCGCTCCTCACCGTTGGGCGCGCTGTCGAGAATGAGTACAAAGCTGAGATGTGCAAGCGCAACCATATCGCCATCCCTTCCCATGTGCGCCCAGGTGAGTTCACAGGATATTTCACGGGCTTCGGGTATAAGGATCTGCACGCTCGCCGGTTGACGGCTGCAAAGTACCTGGAGGATAGCGAGGAGTGGACATCAGAGTGGACGCAGGTACTTAGAGTGCGCGTTGGGAGTATCCTAGTAGACTGTCTCATGGATTCTGCGACAATCGAGAGGACCGCTGTTGATAAGCGCACCAACGAGGAGATGTAAGTTTGTTTATCTCTTGTATATTGCATCAGTTGAAAACTTTCCGAAGTAAGGAGAATCAACCCGCGTTCTACCATGCGTATGAATATGTGCGCGGGCAGAAACTCGGTGTCATCCGGTTGAACCCCGTGGTTTCAGAACGCATCGCAAAAGACGGCTTGCGTGAAACGCTTCACCCGCGTCATTTACCCATGCTCGTCAAGCCTAAGCCGTGGCTCAGCCACGACCGGGGTGGATATCTCTACAATCGATGTGAGTATGCTCGCCAGCCTCTATCAACAGTTTTCTAACAGTGTTAATTCACTAGCTGCCGCCATGCGTTTCAAAGACTGTCAAGAACAGCAAACTTACCTGGAGCACGCAACTGCGCTCGGTAATGTAGAGCTCGTATACGCAGGACTCGACGTTCTTGGTAGCACGCCTTGGAAAGTCAACCGGAAGATCTTCGACATCGTACTCAAAGTCTGGAACTCTGGTGAGCGGCTGTGCAAGATCCCCCCAGCAGTATACGACCAGCCAGAGCCAGAAAAGCCCCCGAACATGAACACGGATATCAAAGCCAAGAGCGTTTACGGAACGCGTCTCAAGGCGTTCATGCAGGACAAAGCGAACAATCATTCCGACCGGTGTAGCGTCAACTACAAGATTGAGATTGCGCGTGCTGTAAGTTTTCATTCTATTCTCTCGCGCCAGTAATCCGACAAAATAAAAGTTTCTGGGTGATACGATGTATCTTCCTCACAACCTCGATTTCCGAGGACGCGCGTACCCTATTCCTCCCCATTTCAACCACATTGGCGATGACCTCAGTCGTGGGCTTCTTTTGTTTGGCGAAGCGCAGCCCCTCGGCGAACAAGGTTTGCGGTGGCTCAAGATTCACCTTGCAAACTTGTACGGGTTCGACAAGGGAAACTTTGACGAGCGCGTCAAGTTCGTGAATGATCATCTTGAGGATGTGTATGATAGCGCTGAAAAACCTCTGGACGTGCGTCTCCACCTTCTTATTATAGTGCCTCGGTGCTGACACGACGAACAGGGTAACAGGTGGTGGACGAAAGCTGATGATCCATGGCAATGTCTTGCAACATGTATGGAACTGTACGCGGCGCTCGAATCAGGCGATCCACACGCATACATGTCGTCCCTCCCGGTGCATCAGGACGGAACGTGTAACGGGCTACAGCACTACGCCGCTCTTGGCGGCGATGTCAAAGGTGCTGCGCAAGTCAATTTGAGTGTGACCGACCGTCCGTCGGATGTGTACACGTACGTCGCGAACATGGTGGAGAAGGTGATTGAAGAAGATCTGAGAAATGGCGATAAGTATGCAATTATGCTTTCTGGTCGGGTTTCGAGGAAGGTGGTCAAGCAGACTGTGAGTGATTGATTTGGTAATTGATTTGTGAGTCGCGAGCTGATCTGGAGAGGCAGGTGATGACTACTGTGTATGGGGTAACTTATATCGGCGCTCGCGAACAGATTGAGAAGCAGCTTAAGGATAGGAAGGATATTCCGGAGGAAGAGTGTTGGGGTGCTAGTGCTTATCTGGCCAAGAGGGTGTGTATTCTCTCATTCGATAGCCTTAGACTCACTCGTCTATTCAAAGGTGCTTGCTTGCATCGGTGATCTGTTCTCAGGAGCTAAAGCCATTCAGACCTGGCTGAACCTCTGCGCCCGTCTGATCTCGAAGTCTATCCCAGCTGAGCGCGTCCCAGACGCATTGCAAGCTCCCAGAGGACCCAAGAAGAATGGTTCTTCGCTCCCCAAGAACCGTATCAGGAAAGAACAGATGTCGTCCGTCGTGTGGACGACGCCCCTCGGCCTACCTATTATACAGCCCTACCGCAAGACGAAGCGCAAGCAGGTCATGACGTCCATTCAGAGCGTGTTCATCTCTGACCCTAATGCGCCTGCTGAAGTAAACGCTGTGAAGCAGGCGTCCGCGTTCCCTCCCAATTTCATTCACAGTCTCGATGCTACGCATATGATGTTGACTGCTCTTGAGTGTCGCGTAGGTCCTGTTGGTTTCAGACTTTTGCTGATGATTGATGAACGTGTTTATAGACTCAGGGCCTAACGTTTGCGTCTGTGCATGATTCCTATTGGACGCATGCTAGCAGCATCAACAAGATGTCTGAAATCATCCGAGACACGTTCATTGCACTGCATTCTTCTGATGTGCTTGAGAAATTGGCTACAGAGTTCCGGACTCGATATGCATCCCACAAGATTCCTCTGACATCGCTTCGCAGCGGCAAGCTGTTGAAGAACCTACAAGCTACAGGCGTACGTATAGTAGCTTCGTCTGAACAGGCGAATGCGCTTCGTCTAGGCGGGTTTAACAACATCATGGATATTTCAGACGAAGAAGCCGGATCCGTCGCCCAGATCTCAAAGAAAACGGAGAGTGAGGCCCTTACGCAGACTAAGACTCCAAAGCCCAAGACAGGAAAGCGCGGACGACCTGTAAAAAACGCAATCATGATCGAATGCCCCAAAAATGATGTGTCGGCCGTCGTGGACCGCGAGGAAGGTGACGATGACTGTGAGGGCGAGGATGACGTTGATTCGATTCTGGTGGACAAATTCGTTGATTTGAGTGCTATACTCCCGCCTTTGCCGAAGAAGGGCGACTTTGATGTGGAGACGATCAAGCAGTCGCAGTACTTTTTTTCGTAAGTCTGTGCGTCGATGGACACGTTTAGCTGTTCTTGTTTTTGGTCCTGCATGCTTCATCACTCCGCAATACGTACGCCTCGCATTTGCATATCTATCACTTTATCTTATATGTCACATAGACTTACTCTTACGTGGAACACTTAATAGAGATGACTCACCTCAGACCCATGTTATGGTGCGCTCTCATAAATTAATTTCATTCTGCTTCATATTTGTACTGTGGGTATCAAGGTAACCATCCTGCAGGCATGCGAGAACAAAAGACCGCAATTCTACGGTTTGTGAGCTGTTCGGAATTAATGAAGCGCGCATTAGGGGCGCGTGCTGGTTTCTGCATTTGGACAGACGCCTTGCAACTTTGCATGCTGCCGGCTGCGATGGGGAACAAGACAATTAACATTGCCAGCTCATGGCTGCTCAGCGCGCATCATATGGTCTCCTACGGCGATCTAGAGGATATACAGGGTCGTCCCACAAGCACATTTAATTCATAAGTGTTCCAGGGTGGGGAAGCGGAGTTTTAAACGCGAACGTACTTGGATGGTGGAAATTGGTTCGAATTGAGGTTTGCTGCTCGCCATCATCAACAACCTCGACGCCTGCCATTCCGACGTCTTAAGCGTACGGTTCCTTACGTTCTTTTAAACCACACAGTCTCTTCAAGTTACATTCCTTCCGACGTTATTATGGACCAAACTTTCGACACTTCTAACAAAGTTCAGGATTCCAATATGACAGCTAAACAGAGGGTCAGTGGACTTTTCGTTGCTTTGGCTTATGCTCATATTTGCGTTCAGTTTGAATCGTTCAAGATGGGTGGTGGTGCCCCAGCCAATAGTTTAAACAATTACATTCCAAAGCATTCACACGGACGATCTCGCTCTCGCAACGGTTCAATATCTTCTCTTTCAACATTATCTATTTCTGCTTCTGCACCTTCATTCCCCCCTCCAGTTGAATTTTCTTTGAATAATGCGCCTTCAAACGCAGCTCCTTCAAAGCGCCCAAATTCCCATCACAGGCGTCGTTCTTCTGTTTCAACTCGCCGCGAGTCGGCAGAGCTTATGGGCGTGTCTCTTCCTGACCTTCCAGCAGCTAATTCAGATGATAACATAAATCTTGGCGACAGGGATTCTATTCGTCGTAGGGCACTCTGGGCTCTTGAAGGAAAGCCCGACCTTGCTTTCTCCAAGGTCGAAATTCCTGATATCACGTCCCCTAATTTGACAAAGCCCTTTGATTTCCGTAAGTTTTGTCTCATTGACACCTACAGCTTATATTTACAGATAACATGTAGCAACCAAGCCGTCTTTCCCTCCTGGTACTGGTATCGGTGGGCATGGCATCAGTAGCCTCATGAACAAGCGTGATTCATTCGGCAAAATGTTTACTTCTACTTCTACCTCCAAAGATCAGCTTCAGACACTAGTTGAGGAGGAGGAAGAGGAATCCGAAGAAGAACATCTTGCTCAAGTTGCCGAGGTTGTCGAGGAATTTACAGAAGGTCCCGCTGATCCACTCGTTGCTTCACCCTCTACAGTGACAAAGTCTGCTGCACGTCACCGTCCCGCCAGCCTCAATCTCAGGCCTCTCTCTCTTGTTTCTGGGAATCCTGTCAGATGCACACCCGGAAATCTCCCCACGCCCACTCTTACGCCGAATCATCGGCCCAATGGTCTGAGATCTCTCGCTTTGACGTCCGGCTCTGAAACCTCGCTTACGAACCCCGAGCTTACAGAAAGTAGCACAGATCGCCACTCCACCACTGTCACATCTTCTTCTTCCGGTTCCTTCAGTCTGGCTTCACGTCGCTCTCTTTCATCCGAAAGCTCTGACATCAGCAGGAAACGTAGTAGCATTTCATACAAACGCTCCGTTACCTCCATTCCTCGCGGGACGGGTGTTTTGCCCACGCCTGATTCGACTCCAACCAACCATCGGTTTTCGGAGTTGAATAATGTAGAATTCATCGCAGAACAGCCCCTCACCACAGCCGAGCATCATTTTTTATTTAGATCGCACAATGTGCTCCTGGCTCGCATAATGGATCTCGAGCGCACGCTACGTTCGCGATCAATGTCCCGATCGCGACCCCTTTCCATGGCTTCAGAGGCTTCGGCAGCGTCATCCGAGCCAAGCGACGAAATGCTGCAGCTGATTTCGGATCTCAAGGCTGAGCGTGACGAGCTGAAGAGAGACGTAGATGGATGGCGCATGCGTGTAGCTGATGTAGATAAACAAGCTGGCGTCCTGGCAAGGCGAGTTGAAGCTGAGAGACGAGAAGCCTGGGTCGCGCGCTCGCGGCTTGGTCTACTGGAAGTAGAGAAGCGTAGCCTGGACAAGGCACTCAGTAACATGAATGCCGAACTCCAGCAATCGATAAGCCAGAGCGAGCAGTTGAAGAAGGAATGTGATGGCATGAAGGAAGAGCTGGACCGGTTGCGTGCTCGTCTCCAGGATGCTGACAACGCAGTCAATGAGGTCGTCCGCCTCCGCGCCGCACTCGAACAAGAGAGGACTAGGCGAGCAGAGCTTGAGGGAGTTCTTGAAGATGCCGGATTACTTGAACATACCCACCATTCCACTTTCTGGTTCAGCGCCTGATCGGTCTTATGATACCCATGCTCGTGGACTTGGCTTCCAGTCCATCGACTCTGACGGCTCTTCGACCGATGTCGAGTCTGTCGACCACAGCTTTACCAAGGCTGAATTGACCCTCGATGCTGTCACAGAGGAAGATGAGGATGAGTACGAGGACGGCTGTGACTTTTCTGATGAGGAGGATGAGTTGGCTGGTTACGAAGATGCAGAAGACTCTGACCTCAGTTTCCAAAGTCCAGATGGCTCATCCATTGGCTCCGGGGACGAACTTGACCTCATGTCAGTCTCAGTCCTAACCGAAACTACAAACCGACTCAACACGTTGTCCAAACCTGCTCCGTCGAGGTCTTTGCATTCTCGACACAATTCACTTTCTAAGACGTGGACATTCCCCAGGGGTCAGCCTGTCACAGTCAAGCGTGATGTTGATGAGGTTGACCGATTCTTCGGATGCCTCGATGACGTTGAAAATTCCCCCCCATTTGGTTCTGAGATGGGCAAAGCAATGTTCACATCGACATTCGGGCCTTCCTACGATGACTGACGATGAGCTGCCACCTTTTGTCATCCCCTCAGACGTTGGCACTGTTGTCGATTCTCACCTTCCGACGTCGAGGAGCCTTGATGTTGTGCCGGAAGAAGACGAAGGCAATGAAGGCGAAGCTGATGACGAGAATGACGGTGAACTCCTTGGCGAGGAGGTCGAGGGCGGGATCCGTTTCACATTCAACCCTCCGCCAACTGTCTGTGGTCCTCCACCTGTCATCTGCATCACACCTCCGGCCGATTCTGAGCCGGCATCCGTTGCGAGAAAACCTGTCCTTATCTACGAGCCTTTTGATGATGAGGAAGAGGATGGTTCTCCCTTCACTTTCCCCCAGTCCAGGGTACAGGAGCCGATCACTCCGTCATCTTCTTCGCCACCGACTTCGGAAAGCAGTAGCCGTCCATCAAGCCGGACAAGTAGCTCGCCATCGTCAATTCCTCGTGCAACTTCACTGCGCTCATTCATACCGCTCACACCGCCCTCTTCAGCTACACCGCCCAGAAGCGCGTCTGATCGTTTTAATTCACTAGCAGACTATCCGGCGACGTCGTTTGTTACCCCTCCGTCACGGCGCGGCGGGACCACCCCATCCTTCATCCCTCAACCAATCTCGCCCTCGCCATCCAAGATTTTCAGCCCTTCAAAATGCCGCGTTCCTGTTCCGCCAATGCGTTCTAAGGGTGCTACAAATGGTTCGGCATTTAAGCCTCGCCTCAGATCATCCATGAGTGGGTTCTAACTTTTTCCCTTTGGTTTTTGCAGTCAACGGTGCAACTCTCAGATACTACGGCACCGCAGAGAAGATAGCCGAAGCAAAATCAGATCCCTCCGAAACTTGTGAATACCTTGACCAAGACGCCTCGATTTCATCTTTATCGTCCATTATGCCTTCACCGCTTGCGGCACGATTTTCATTCCAGACACTGTCCAACTTGATTCCCCTTTCGTGGACGCCGGGTGCGGCCGCGGTTATGTCGCGTACTACACCTAGGACCTCAGTTGGCTTGACTGATGATGTTGCAGAGGCAGCATCGTCATTTACTAGTGCCTGTCCTGGTGTACGACGCTCGATTGAAAGGAGATTTGTTTCTAGGGATCAGCAGTTGGAGAAGCTGAGAAATCGACTTGTCAATAACCATATTGACGGCACAGGACGCTGTTTTGCAGTCGCTCCTTGTGGTGCTGGCAAGGGCGCCAACATTTTCTTGTGAAGAACCCTGCCAGTATGTTCCCTGATATGTGCCTGTCCTAGTTCTATGCCTTTTTCTTTCCTATGTTCCCCCTACACCTCTCATTGATGTGTTACATACTCTCACATCCCCCTCACTTTTATTTGTCGTGTTATGACTGCCCGTGGAGGAAGTCATGTTATTATGTGTCAATACTGTTGTCTTTGTATTATATCATTATTACCTACCTTTCAAAAGCACTTGATATTCGTTCATGCTCATATTTTTATCATGTTTATGCATTTCTTGGGTTTGCAACCGAACAATTGTGAGACGAAGTACAGTGCAGCACAGTCGGTAGGTCCCGGCTGCCAGCGTGGGAACAGCACAAGAGCGATTCGGTCAATCCAGAACTAGCTTCAGGCCTCATCAACTTCAACGTTAACAATCATGGTAGCACCCCGGGGAACACGCACTTTCATGCGTAACTGGTTTGCCATCGAGGTAATTTTTCAATGATTTGCGCGTTCGTGGGCTGATTGATTTACTACGCTCAGGCAATTCCTATGTGAGCTCGTATCTCCGCGTTGCTGAAGTTGAGTTTTATTGACGACCGAGCAGCTACGCCGTTATTGGCTTGGCCGTCGGTGGTGCAGGCTGGTATTTGACCCGTCTTGCTCGTGGTCCTACGGGTACATCACCTCCTTCCGACTTTATTCGCATTTGCTAATGAACGAGTGAACAGTCGTTTGGACGAAGAGTAACCCTACTCCCTGGAACGACGTCAAACAAGATGAAAACACCAAAATAATGGATGTCAACTCGAAGTTTGCAAAGAGGTGTGTTGTATACTCGATGTGTGGGCTGCGCTAACCCCATTGGTATTGCCAGCTGGTCGAGGGACAAGCTATAACTTAAGCTCGCGTTGGAGGAGTGATATACCTTTCTTTCAGTCGTGCTCGTTGTCATATTACAGTTTCAATTATATTTTGGAATCTGTTTTCCTCTATTCATGGCAGTTTCATGTGACCAGCGCATGTAATTTTCGGGCCGGATAGTTTGTGGTCTTGGGACCGGTTAGTCAGTGTAAAAAGACAACATGCAACGGATTGCGATTTTCTCATTGGCCATTACCTTATCTATCAAGTAGATCATGATGGTGGTCGACTTCGACGCTCCTGATCCTGCTTATCCTCTTCCTCCTCTGAACGAGATCCCGGACGATGATGCTGACAAGCCGAATGAAGAATACAAGCTGGTAACTTACATGCTCGGTAGATGATCTCGGTCCTGTGCTGACACTTGATCATCAGACTACAACGCCGAATGGCTTCCCTGCGATCATCTTTGGTGCTGCTACGTTTTCCCGCATCTATAACGATGCCGATCATAACTCTGGAGTAACACCATTGCGGGCTGCCAGACTGGCTCTACGGTATGTGATTTGCTAGATCACGCGCAATGTATTTCTGAGAAGTCGACAGCTATGGTATAAATGTGTTCGATACTGCACCATTTTACGGGGATTCCGAGATCATCCTCGGGAACGCTCTTCGAGCTTTGAGGCATGAATTCCCTCGAGAGTCGTATACGTTGGTAAGTGTACTCACGCAATGGTGCTGGAGGGTTAACAGTAATGCATGTAGTAGGTCACCAAAGTCGGTCGTTATCCTACCGGATTCGATTATGCCCCCGAAGCTATCGAGAGGAGTATTGCGCGCAGTCTTCGGCGCTTGCATACCAACTACTTTGACATCGTGTACTTGCATGATGTCGAATTCATTGCGGACGAGAAGCTCGCTAGAAGAGGAGGCAACCATGTTGCTGCTCTGGGGGAGGAGAGGGAACAATATGGGTTGAACGAAAGTCAGGAGGGTGAGATTTATACAGAAAAGGACCACAAAGTTTTGTCCGCTGTGAAGAAGCTTTTTGAGCTGCGAGATAGAGGTATTATCAAGCGAGTCGGGATCAGCGGTAAGTACAACTTCAGATTCTGACACTATCGATTTGCGGATACTAATAAGCGCGTGTCAGGCTTCCCACTTCCGACCCTCCTGCGCATTGCAATTCTCATCCAGAAGCGCCTCGGGAAGCCAGTGGACCTCGTGATGTCCTACTGCCACCTCACCTTGCAGAATAGCACGCTCGAGCAATTCAAATCTGCCTTCGGGCCACGCGCAGGGGTCAAGCAAGTTATCACCGCCTCGCCGATAGCTATGGCGCTCTTGCGACCTTCGCCCAGTCCCATTGCGTGGCACCCTGCGCCACTCGAGACCAAGGAGGCTGCGAAGAGGGCTGTGCAACTCAGTCAGGAGTGGGATGCGTCTGGGAATGGTCTTCCTGACTTGGCGCTGCAGTACACGTTCGCACGGGCGAGGGAGATCGGGGTGCCTGTCGCGGTGGGGCTTAGCACGCTTGAGGAGGTCCATGCGAGTGTGAAGGCCTGGCGTGAAGTGGATGCCGAGGGGTTAACGGCGAAGGAAGAGTGGGTTACTCGGGTTAAGAACGTGCAGGACCTGTTCAGGGATGTGCAAATGCTGGACTACTCTTGGGCGACACCTTGATTTACCTCGGTGAGGGTGAGCAGCGCGCGGTACCACTAAGTTTATCGGAACAGTAGTTGAACGCGTTGATAAACCAAACGATATTTGAATTGATACAAACAAAACAAACTACAATTACTAGTATGCAAGCACAAAATCACCGTGTCTTGATAATTCCTGCGTTGATGAGTTTCATAATCTTCTGGCGTACAACAGGGTTTTTCATGTGGTCTTGTAATGCGCCGGGATTACCTTGCGCTTGTTGCAGAATCTGCTGCATTACGGGGTCGCCCATAATTTGCTGCACGAGAATTTTTGGTAAACACTACAACTACATAGCAAGATCAGATGACACTCACGGCAACTTCGGGGTCCTTCATGGCTCGCTCAAGGGTCTGTTCCTCTGTCTCGTCAGCACGCTGAGTGAACATGGCTTGCTGGATCTTGAACTCCTGAGCCTGAATCTCTTGCGCGTGTGCATTGGCGGTGTCGGCTGATGAAGCGGCTTGTAGGGCTTCAAGAGCCTTACTATATTCGCGCATGGTTTGCAGGATCGTGGCTTTCCGGATATATGCCTTGACTGAAGCGACGTTCAAAAATAGTCCACGAAGAATCAGAAGCAATCAAAACTCACCGAATGCGGGATCGACCTCGATTGCTTTGTCGGCATCCTTGAGCGCTTCAGCCAGTGCCATAAGTTTCATGTACGCTGCTGCTCTGTTGTTGTATCCCCTTGCATCGGAGGGATCACGCTTGATACTTTCTTCATACAATTTCACGGCCTTTGCAAAGTCACCACTCTTGAATGCAGCATTACCTTCCTCGCGCGCAGTAGCAGACTTGGCGGGGTCGATGTACGCCTGGCGCTCGGCCTCGACGATGGCTTTCTCGGTGGCTTGAAGCTTTGCGAGGATGGTAGCGTCACGGTGTTCAGCGAGTGACTTTTGGTAGTACTTCTTTGCGGACACTAGGTCGTTCTTTGCGGTGTACGCAGTTCCGATACGGCCAAAAATTTTGGCAATGATCTTGTAGTCTGCCCGGAGCTGTGTCATGCGTCAGCAGACGTCTGGTGCATGGAAGAGAACGACTCACTCCTCGGCCTTCCTCAACAGCCAACTCGCACGTTGCGATACATTGATCGTACTCTTTCGCCTCGAGATAAGCAGCGCCGAGATTGCCGAGGAACGTGATGTCCTTTGGCCACAAATCCCAAGCCTTCTTGAAGTATTCTGCGGCTTCAGAAAAGCGTTGCGCCTTATAGTGCTCTGTGCCCTGCGCCTTTGCGGCGAGAGCATCTGCCTTGGCTTTGGCTTCCTCAGCGTCTTCATCTGTCATTTCGACATCTTCTGGCTCGGGGGCTGGTGCTGCTGGTGCCGGTGCCGGCGTTGGTGCTGGCGGAGCCTTCGATGAGGATGCAGATGATGTCGGACGTGTTTGACGCGTTGGGGGAGGCCCATGCTTGAAACCGGGTGGGAGCCCGTCAAAGTCATCGTCGCGCGAAAAGCCTTGCATATCGATGCCCATGGCGACACCAAGGACGTCGATCATGCGGGAATCTGACTGGAGAGCTCTATAAGGAATGGTTGAGTACTGCCAAGGAACGGTGGTTTTTGAATTGAACATACGAATCAGCGAGTGCGGGGTTATTTTGGAATTGTTGAAGCTGTGGAGGTCGTTTAATTATATTGAGCGGGATGTTAGGCAGTGATCTACCTTTTGCACGAACGCTGGGTCGGAGAGATGTTTTTGTGTTCGGGGATTAGTTGCCAGCTTGCCGATGAGGTTTGGATCTGAAAAATATTTTCCGAGGCCTAAGGATTCAGATACAGAATCCCTGCCTGCAGTGAGGAGTCAACGACTGTTTTCATCTGGGTGAACGAAGGTAGCCTACCCTTTGCATCTTTCACCTCTTGTAAACCCTTGCGCAAGGCAGGGCTGTCCTCGAATTTAAGACCAGCTTCGTATGCCTCGACAGCCTCATCATATCGTCTTGCACCGTGCAATGCAGCCCCTTTTCTCGCGTAACCTTTGGACCACGACTGATTGAGCTTGATGCACTTAATCGCCGCATAGGTATCAGCATGGCAGACCCGAATCCGACTCGGATATAGCTCACCTGTTCTGCATCCACTAGTGCTTCAGCCCACTGCTTCTTGCCAGCTTTCGCGGCACTCCGATTGGAGAAAAGGACGTGGTTGGAAGGGTCGATGGCGATGGCAGCTGTGAATAGCTCGATCGCCTTGTTGTAGTCCTTGCCAGCAAAAGCCTTGTTGCCCTGGTCTTTCAGGGCATTTACCTGTAAAGTGTTTCTTTGCGTGAGATTGTCCGGCTAAGCAATGAACTTTATACACACATCTGACATGCTCGTTGAGATTGATGGAGTTTGTGGTAAAGATGAATCCTTCGAGACTTTGTAGTATTTCCTTGATATCTGTGCTTCCCCTCTGGTACTTTTATACAATCCCTATCCGTCTAGACCAAATTCAAGGAACTTTCTAGAATTTTCGAGGACTAAGCGTCCAGGATTGGTTCCTGGCAGCGCCCAAAAACGTCATCTTAATCTGCTACCTTACATGTCTCCTTATGATCTTTTTCTAATATCCCTCTCGACGGTTGGTACAATTCCCGACAGACCTCTCAACCTATCTATCTGAGGATGCGATGTCGAACTTGGTCGTGATTGGCTTGCGTTTGTGAATGCGAAATTCGATGGGTCTCCGAGTCGGCCTCCAGAAACGGACATCGCTCGGCTTTCTGGTGGTCATAGTTGGAAATTCAAGCCTAGAGGTATGTGTATATTGTTCGAATTATTTTCATCTGTCTGAATGATCGTTTGTGCGGATCTTTCCCTATCTTTCCTCTCCGTCCTCTGTTGTTACAAACTCAGAAGTTGCAGCCACCCAAGTAGGTTTATCTTCTTCATCTCCGTCATGTTTGTCTATACTTCCGCGAAATGAACATGTTACGGACAATTGTTTTTGGTGGCTACATATGAAAGATCAGCTCTGAGTAAATTGGCGGTTGCTCACGGCCTTCGGGCAGCCTCCAACTTATCTATGTTTGCGACAGGCTATATCTCAACACGTGGGTACAAAATTCTGTGGGTCTCGCTCATCACGAACGTTCGAGGGGTGCCATGGGTCAGTGTGTCAAGATCTTGAGTCTTGACACGTCTTGTGGTCATGACGGGGCGGCGCTTTCTACGAGGATAACGTTTTTGACAGCTATATTTACGGCCACGAAACGACGGTGCAAAACGGCCAACCAACCAGGTGCGTATCAAACAGCATTGTTCAGAATGTACACCGACGGACCCTTTCCGATTTCCCAGCTCGGCGTGCAGGCCACGAAGGCCCTGCATACATCCGATGAACTTGTCGAAGAACATTCTATCCCCATCCTCTCCACGACCTCCGAAGCAGTAGGCACTAACATATACGCGCGGGTTACAAGCCGCCAGATGTCACAACGGGCAATACTTCAAACACATTCGGCAGTACATCATCGTCATCGTTATGTATTGTATGACTCCGTGCATCGCTAAACACATTAATATTACTTGCTCTGCGAGGTAGTGCGACTTCTTTTTGACTTTCATCTCGATCCTTCCAATATGTATCTCGATGATTATACATCCAGCGCGGGCATGCTCACACATTAAGATGACTATACATGTTTTCACCGCGATGAACGACGCTGGGCCGCAGACGACCGACTAGTTGAAGCGTTACGCAAAAGAAGCACACAACTCCACTGTCTACAAGTTAACGAAGCTGGCACGATATTGGTTACTTTTTTTTATCTGGCCTTGTACGTCGTCTGCTTTTTTCGCCAGCTGCTGCTCATGGTACGAAAGCCAAGAAAGCCTTTAGAACCAACGACTCTCTACAATCAAAGTCTTCTACTCTCACTACCCTTGCTTCCGAAGTCGCTGTAGATACTGTACGCATGGCATTGCGAGGTTCCAAGTTCCGGGATTCGGTGTGCTGCAGCGTTTCGCCTTGTTCTCTACAGGATGCTCATATAAAGACCATTTAGATCAGAAAACGGGACGGCGACAAGTGTACGGTCACTGGCAGAACAAACACGAAAGCAGGACCATATCCCCCAATACTTAAGGTTGCGCCAAGCTGCTCCTCATCCTCAGAATATTCGTTGCTTCACGAGTATTCTGAAAGTAACGTGTGTTCTCAACTGTTAAGTTGCTGTACCCGTCCAGTTGATTGTTTTCCAGCGCATCGCAGGAACGGTTGACATAATTAAGCGTTACACCGAGCTTCCTGAGAGCATCATAGACGACCTAGCTGATATCATGGACAGCCCAGAGAATGGAATGTTACTCGAGAGGTCGCTACACTCTGACTTCGACGACTACGAGTGGTGCCTGCACCCCACAGTATTGGTTAAGCTTTTATCGTGAAATTTCAGATACTCATGCCCTTGACAGCGTGTATTACATAAATATACAGTGCACTGGCTCCGTCCTACGTTGGGGTAGAAATAAATTCACGGAAGTCCAATTTCAGGGTCACTCTGAAACCGGTATTCAGCCTCCCAAGCCTACGTCTATCGCGCTTCACGCTGCAGTCGCCCATATTTTACATCTCAGTGGTGCCACAGAAGTCATAGACATTGTTTATGATGCATTCTTTGATGAAGATCATATGGTACCACCTGGAAATCGTGCCAGTCATGAAGATTTCCTTATCAGACTCTCGTTGATCGGGTTAACGACTAACAAACACCAATTGCCAACGAACATAGGAGCACAATGTTAGTGAGGCTGCGCTGATCCCCATTAAAGCCTAGTCAGGAGTCACCGCATGCCTAGTCACCAGGTGATTTTCCTTTCTAGTTATGTGTTCGTGTATCATGATCTGGCTCATTCAAGTTGCACACGTCGTGCTTGCAACGTTGCATTGCGAAGTACTAATTTCGCGTGTTTCCCTTTGGTCTATTCGCGTTGCTTCTCTTTGCATTGCTTTTTAATAATTCTCGACTCGCATGAACTTCAGGGAACTGGCCATCCACGACTAATTGCCCCTTGTCGATTGCTAGCAGGGCTAATGCCAAGGTCTGCAGCAGCTTACATTTTATCCAGTGCCTTCATTCTCGCCGACTTTCAGCAATCCCTACACCTAGAGTTTGCACGAAACGATGGTGATTTCGAGATGGAGGCCAATGATAATCATGGAAATGACTTTCAACTTGGTTCGCATCTCTTTGAATAGCGGCCACTATTACTTTTCTGAACATTCGACTATTTCAGAAGAACCAAGACAGCCTACAAGACAAATTCTGAGACCTTTTGACACCCAGCCTTAGAGGAGGATCTCCATTACTCCGACAACGCTGACGGTCAGGACCTTTCAACTCGAAATTCAACTGCAGGAATCCCAGCCCAATTCAGAATCTGACGTGTTCTTCTAACGTTAAGAAGGGACATGCACACTGCAGACCTCATTTGGTCTCAGTCGATTATACCCTCGCTGGCCCTCCTTACAGGGTGCAGTTACTTGCTAATGTCCTCAAATGAACGTTAGATTTTGCTAGGTCTCAATGTCTGGCGATGGCATAATTCGAAAGTTTGTGAACAACACCTCTGAGATGAAGAGACTGGCAGCTCATGACTTCCACATCTTGCAATTGTTTGTGTTAGGCAGTAAGCTCGCCGATGCCCCTCTTCCAGTTATTGAAGGGATTTTCCCTCCTGCTCACGACAGTGGTGCAATCTCTGTTATATCGACTCTCACAGTATTACAGTAACACTTTGGTTTTTCAGACATCATCGCCCCAAAAATCAAACTTCTCAGCCTTCCCCTTCGAATTCGGAACTCGAGTAAAATGAAGGCTTCTCGAAACCCATGCCTTGACGCGATAAGACAATTACTTACCCGACTTTTTTCCCATTGATGCCTTTTAGACTCGCACCTACCTGGGAAGAACGGAACGTGATGGCCGGATCTAAAAAACTAACGTACACTTCAACGAAATCCCAATGACAAATTTACCGTTCATGATGGACACTTGGCGCCGTCGAAATTTCCACTGCAGTAACAACCCTTCAACTTGGGAGGCAGTGCGCGGTTAAATGAGTAGGCTGTAGCTTCCTTGTCAAAATTTCGTTCACTCTCAAATTCATTGTCGAGCGGGAGAGCATATACAAGAAATCCAACCATCCTCCCAAAGACTTTCAATTTATGATACATCGGATGCATGTATATAATACACAAAAACGCAATACACAGAAAAAAAAACGCAGTATAAGTATATAGGTAGGAAAAACCAAAAAGAAAAAAAAAAATAGGTAACTAAGTAGGTATGCCGTACGTACATCAAGCGAAGGGATCGGACACGTGTTACAAGGGTCGTCGTGCGGTGGGTAAGACTTGGGTAATGGGTTTGTGTTGGGATGGGGAGCGTTGGAACGGGATGGGGGGGTGTCGTTCGATGGAGTTAGTTGATGGGGGTCAAGCTAAGCTTCCGGGATAGGAGGACTGGACTGGAGGGAGTGTGGGTGTGTGGGGAATAGTGGCTTGGTGTGGGGAGTGGGAGTTATCACTTGGCATCGGTATACATATCGTGAATATAAAAAGTACACTGTGAAATTTCAATCATGCATTCGCCATTCGATGAATACAACAATCAAACAAAAAAAAAGGAAAGGAACTACGCGTATGCGATGGATATGGACATGGGATGGAATGGCGCATGAGAGAAATGTTTATGAAGCATGGGAGATAATTAAGAATGCAGCGTCGGGTAGCTAGAAAGTGCGATGCAAAAATGCCAGATAGGTAAAGGTTGGGTAGAGGTATCTAGATCCAAAATGAAAATGAAAACGTACAGATGTCGTCGCAGTGCGTTGCGGCGTAGTAGTCGTGTTTGGTGTGGTGATCCTATGCAGCGAACAGCGAGCGGTTGATTACATGTGGCGCATGTCGTTGCTAATGCCCATGTCCAAGTCTCATCCTCTCTCCCCTGTAGGGCGCTGCATGACATCTAGAAACCGCGCCCACTCTGCCTGGCTTAATGACGCTCCCCACATCGAATCTTCCTCCACTGGCGTCGGGTATGTAAAGGGGTATGACGATCTGCTCCCTCCTATGCTGCCTTGCACAGGATAGGGCCGTGTGTCGGGGTAAGGTGCTTGAACATGTGTACCATCAGATGTAGGCGGATACGATCGTACAGAATCAGAATATGGTTGTGTTGGCACAGGTGGCGGTGGTGCAGGGTACGGATTCCCAGACCCTGATGCCGACCCTGATGCCGACCCTGACCCAGACGGTGGATATGGGTTTCGTGCAGGCGCAGGAGGCGGCGGATCCGGATACGTGCTCGCCGTCGTCGAGGCCGCAGAACCAGAAGCAGGCACCGTCCTCGAAGCCCCATCCACATACCTCGCACCCTCATACGACCCCCTCACATCACTATACCCCCTATTCTCAGGGTACGGATAAGGCGGGGATGTATTAGGCGGCACGTATCGCGGTTGAGCTGTATGTGTATGAGGCGGGTAATCCACGCTATTCCTCCTCACGCTCGCATTCGGGCTTCCGCCAAAAACCGCTGCGCCATTATTAGGACTTCCGGCTGCGTACCCGCCCGGTGGGCTGCCCATGTAACCGCTTGGACTGCCACCCGAGTAGTTGTGGGGGCTATCGGCTGCCCCGCTCCGCAATGAACGCGACTGGTCGTGATAGGGGAATGCGAGGGTTTTGACAAGCCCGAGGACACGTCCTTTGACACTTTCGCGTTCGCTTGCCTCCATGTCTGCGAATCCGACTTCGTAGAGGGGTTGAAGGGCGCCTAAGATATCGAGTGCGCGGTCTGCAACTGCTTGTCCGCGGCTTAAATCGAGAGTGCCGAGCGCTTTCTTGATGTTTGCACGGAAGAGGCCTGCGCCTGGTTGGTTTGGATTTGAGATGAGTTGGAAGGAGAAAAACATGGCAGCGCTGAATACGTGGAAGGGTCCCCAGGACATGTGGCCTGGTACTGCTAGGCTGGCATTTGCAAGAAAGTCTGGGCGGGCGTGATCGACGAGCGTGATAAGTTTGTCGGCGCTGCCTACTGCTATATCGAGGCTGTTTGCTTGGCGTTCGGATTTTGCAGCGTCTTTAGGGTCTTTCTCGGGTTTATCGTGCTTGTCTTTGTCATTGAGGAAAAGGGAGGGTGATGCGGAAGCGTATGGTCTGTGGAGTGTGAAGCGGATGTGGTAGTAGCTTGTTCGGATGATGACGCTTTGTACGCCCAGTCTTCTCGTAACTATGTCTGAGCTTGCGAGGGCGCGTGCAATTCTGAACTCGTCCAGATCGAGTTCTTGAGGTAAGTTGTCCATCCAGTTAGCGAGAGCTTTATCATGCGCCATGATCGTGTCGTATGACACGGAGCGAAGCGAGACGGCACTGTCCATGATGTCGCCTAGGACGTAGGCGAGGCGAAAGAGTGCGAGATTCGGGGCGTAGAGACGTGGTTGTGGAGGGTTTGTGGGAATGATGGGGGACACAGAGGGAAGTTGGGTGTCAAAGTGGTGGGAAGCTACGGCAAGAGGACGACCAAACATGAAGGCTTGCCACCTGGGAAGAATTAGGCGTGTACGTAAGAGAAACGAAGGAACGCACCGTTCGAGTAGTATAATATGCCACCATGCCCAACGTTTTCTCTCTGCAAGTTCCTTGTTCATTCTCCACCTAGATGGATCGCGGTGTAGGCCCATTGCAAGGCCCATACTGACTAATTCGGCCCGAATTGCCCAAATTTCTTCGCTATCTGTCTTGCTGAGATTGAGATAGTGAGAGCGGATCAGGAGGCATTCGACGAGTTCGAGGGTGTAAGTTCTGGACTCTGCACGATGTCGATCGAGTGCCGTGCGCATAACGTCGTAAAAGCGTTTTCCGAGTTCTTCATGGTTATCTGCTAGATGTGCGATGAGTGGGTCGCGGGGAGGCAAGTAATGAACGGCGATAGCCATGATCATGCAGACAGTCGCGAGGACGACTCTATCTGGAGAAGAGCCGCTCTTGAAGCGAGCCCACGCGGCAGTGAATGCGGGTTGGTTTACATGACGGTAAATCCAATTGCAGTATTCAAAATAGTAGATGACGAGGGTGTCGATTGTGTCGAGGGCTGGGAGGAGCTCTAGGAGGTCTCTGTCGTACTCATGAGTTGAAGCTGCGATTTCATCGTTGACGAGGCCTTCTTGAGATGGGTGCCTGTCCATTGGGTCGTCTGAAGCGCGCGCTTCGTTCTGGATTGTGTGAGGAGGATAAATGCATGAGAGGAAGAGAACTGACCATTGTGAGATGAGTAACGACAGAGGTAGTACCAGCGTAGAAGCCGCCGTGTCCCTGGGAGCCGATCATGCCGGGAGGATTATCGCGATCGACGGAGTCAGAATCTTGAGGCTCTTTCTTGAGTGGACTTGGAGGACCTGAAGGTGGAGGGTCGAGTGGACGTTTGAATGGAAGATTTCGGTGGTTTGCAATGATAAAAGTTTCGAGTAGCGAGACGCTGTGTTTCAAACGAGTTATTTCTTGCATTGGATCCACTCTAGAGGCATTTCTGGTTATGCATGAAGACATGAGACTGGTTGGAATGAAAGAAAAAATCATACTGGTCGTCTGAACGTAAGTTCAAGTCTGATTCATGCCCACGAGCATCCTGGTAGCATAAAGCAATGGTTCCTTTGTAACGTTGAGTAATTTTTTTTTTTGAAAAAAACAAGATGGTTTGAACTGACCTCTTAGAACACAACTCGAGCATGGTCGATTTCTGTTGTCGTCAGTAGTGGTTATTATTGAAATTGGCGTAGTTTACTGACCTATCACATTTGAGTTTTGAATTTCTACAAGGCTCGCAGTTGATAGCTTTTCTTGCTCTCTTTGTTGGTGGTCTTTGGTCTTGTTCGTTGGGAGGAGGACTCGTTCTTGACCTAACGTTCGTTGATCTTGGTTGAGTCTTTGAGCGTGGTTCGACGTCGGACATGACGCTCGAGGGAGGAATTGAAATCAGAACTGAGCCGTTTTCACTCGGGTTTTACGCTCATGTGCAATCTAACCCTAATCCGCCCCCACATGCGAGGCACTCTACTGCCATAAGAGATTATATTTCCTAATATAGTATTTCTTTCACTCGATTAGGATTCAATCTTACTATATTAAACACTCCGCCGGGCCCCTTTCAAGACAGGAATTTGCTTCCGCCGTCATTTTCCAATTTGGTTCCGACAACTACGCTCTGATCCACACTTTTCTATATTAGGTAATCTAATATTCATCTAAAAAAACGCGGCCTTTGTGTGCATTATTTGACCCTGACTATTAAAGGTACTCAACCCCCCCATCACTATCTCCGCCGTACAGATCTCGGTTGTCATCAACGCCGTCTCAACTTAACCCCCACGTAGTGTAAACCGGGCAATAAAATCGCTCTTCCCCACATGTTGGCTCCAGTCTCGTGACCTAGCCGTATCACATCCTCCTCCATATGCTTCACCCATCCTCCTCTCCACTCACGACAGGTCAAAGTTCTTATCTCACCGCAGGGTCTCGAACCTCTGCATTGTGATCACCTCAGACAATTATGCTCTGCAGATTTCTCGGTGAATGTGAATCTGGGGTGACTCGTTTTGACTTTGACTTTGAAACTGCAGATCTGAGATGCTAGTCCATGTAAATCTTGCATATGACAGGACGGTGGATCTACGATTTTTTAACGATGCGTCACTACGATCTGCGCTTTATTATGTCGCGGTACAATGTGCATGATAGGATCTGCGTCCATCTTCAATCCACTTGAAATTCCATCATGCGACGTCGGAATGATGGATTTTACGGGTTTTTTCACTGCAATTTGCACCCACTGGCTGGAGTTGCACTCTCCATATGTCGTGGTGGAATATACATGTGCACGACAACATCTACGCCAGCCATAGCCGTCGTCGATCAACGTGAAATGCCATCGTGTGGATGTTGCACACGTGTTCAAAGTTAACCTTGAACTATTGGGATTGGATATTTTAGTTCCAGATTCCTCTCGTGCTCCGCCACTGTCCTTGCTGTGCGCACTCTGCTACGGCCCCGCGGCTTCATCCAGGTGATGTTTGTTCCATCTTCCATTCGGCTGCATGTACCTGTTTGTTGCAGATCGAGCATGGCTCAACGCTATGCAATGCATATGCCCACGTCGTCTGCAGAACGAGTTGCGAGGTCCATACATGTCGAATTTGATCACGGTCTCTCATCTATTTCCCTACTGACCTCCGCAGCATGCATCTCCTCTACAGGGTCGTTTCTTTAGCATCAGGATTCCAGGTCCATCTGTGGCGGCATTCCATCCACCCATCAAGCTACCACGCACACGACCCCCAAAAAGCTCCACCATCTCTACCTATGTACGTCGAGAGAACCGGATGCACTCCACTATTCACACACCACATTGTTAGGCTGTTCATTCGATTGCCGGCCTTCTCCACCATTGGTGACCATATACTGCCATGCCGCCGGTATTGCAAAAAAAAAAACTCTTATCTTCGCTTGTGCTTCTATCAACGTGTCATTGGTAATTCGTTCTGCTTCTTGATCAAGGCTGTTCCGCTTCTTGCTTTCTGTTTTGTGCTGCCTGCCATAGGTTCTAGAAAGTGGTGTGCTTGTTGTTCTTGTTCTGCGGTCACAATATTGCGACATATCGCTATTGGATCTTGTGCAGACTCCTCGCGTTCACGCCACTTTGGATTCCAGGAATTGGCGTTCTCGTCGTCTTGTTCTTGTTCTACGCTCACGTTCACATCCCGTGCGATATGATTGCTATTGGACCCCAGCGCTGACTCTTCGCATTTGTGTTAACGTCGCCTGGGTGATGACAGCGGGACTCCGCCGTCTTTCAACATTCCATCTTCCGCTATTAGCTATCTTGACGCCGACGCGTTTGATATCTGCGATAAGTGCCGCAGAGCTCGTGCCACTGGGAACAGAACTAACACGCCACCATCATCACAAGAAAGGTCTTATTTGCTTTATAAGCGCCCATTTAACTTTGTCCTGTATCTGCCCTCGTACTATCTCACTATGTACTAGACCTCCACCACCTGAGCGGATGGGGATCAGACTTACTCATCTACCCGTGCGATTAACAATCCCAACGAGGTAAATGGAGACCATGGCGCCACTGTTAGTCGAACGTTCAACATTCAGCTATTTGTCATGTCCTAGTATTAATTCTGGGATGTCGATTTGCAGATATGATCAGTACTTCTTCGGACGCTGTACTACTCATAACGTGGGCCTGGGACCCGGACGTGCTGATTGAAGCTAGACCGGGATAGATATGGATATCTGGCGGCGCCGGATTGTACTCGGTCCCGATTTCTGGTCTCGCTGACACATACTCAATGTGGGGTCCTCAATGGTGCGATTCACGCACCCTTGCATGCATGCACGCATGCTGGTCTATCATTATTCACCCGAGGGAGAAAGATGACATGTGGGTAGAATTGCTTATGCACCCACATTTCTTCTATTTCTCTCGGTCACGGTGGGGTGTCCACCGTGGAAGCTTCTAATGGAGGTTAAACGACTCGGATACTGGTAGTAGCTCGATCACGGTCCGATACACGCATCACGCACGCTGACAGCAGTCTACGCAGTCCAGGGTGGACGAGATGTGTGACAGCACTCTCATCCCCTCATGAAACCGGGGCGTGTCTACTGTGGGAGTTTTTTGAATCTGAGAAAGGTTAATCTGATCTTCCTCTTTAGATGATTACGGAGTCTGAGAATGCTGGGCAGTGGTCACCGTGCTGCTTGTTTTCTGCCGTGTTCGCGATGAACTCATGTGAGCTCTACCATGTCTGCTGTGCCAGGTCACGGTGTGACATGTCATCCGAATTAGAGAGATGAAAACCTAGCTTCTAGTCCAACTCAGTCCGCTGGGTGGCGTGGGATGTGAGGCTAGTCTCCTTCAATCCAGGGACTCGATATTTATTTATTCCACAGTTGATGATCGTGTTGACGTCTGTCCGTCAGATTGGTGTGATCACGTTCTATGGATATTGATTTCGGGTTTGTGGCGCATGCCGCGAGTCATGCACAAATTGTGGAGATGAAGACATAGCTTCTGTTGCGACACGGCAACTTGAAAGACATGAGTCTTGATGGGTTTATACAATCCAGACATCGATGTTTAGGATTGGCTCGACAACTGATGTCGCCGAGACGTCGTCTGTTCGGGAATTCAGGTAAGGTTTGATGGAATTTTTGTTGGGCGTTATTGTACAACGGTGAGCTTGGAGTTCTAGAATTTCTGAGCGTGGCTGGCGTTGTTGGAGGCTGAGCTGACAAGGCTTCTCTGTTTTATAATGATTGGATAAACCTAACCACGTCGCGGGAGGGAACGAGACAGAACCTGTGTAAGTTCTTCACAGTTTAAAAGTCTTGCTCAAACTTTAGGATGAATTAGACAGTTTGACGTCTATCCGTTTATCAAGCAAACTCATGGTTGGTTATGTCCTGATGGAGACGCCGCACAAGTCCGACGACAGTCCAGAAATTCAAATTCCAGATCTAAAGGACAGGGGCCACCTCATGTCGACTCCACATCGTGGTAGTGTAGTAAATGTCCAATCTACGACCGAGCCAAACCGATCGATGGCCCGTCATTTATTGGATATTTTGCTCGATTGAGAGCACAGGGCAGTGAGTTCACTCCCTTTGGAAACAGGTAGTGGAGCGAGACATCTCATGGTCGCAGCCCTATCCCCAACCTCGCCGTTTCTTAATACTGCGGGACAATGAGTGACTTTTGCTCAAGTTTCTTATGCGCCATTTATATGATCATATCCCACGCTAAGACCTTTGCGGTATATTTTCATTCTGACAAATAGTTGGGTGGATATCTGAAGCATGCAACATGTACATGGAGTAAGGGTTGGAGTGCTTTATATAATAAGCAACGTCTTGCTTCCTGCCTGAGGGAGATAGGTAAATAAAATGCATCATATATATATATAAACTCGATGACTACCTCAACTAGGTTGTACCACAGCAAAGGTAGCAGCCGTCAGGTTTTGACCAGACTGCTGTGTAGTAAGGCCCGCAGTCAGCGGTAGCCTTAACCATGTAGCATATGGGTATGCATGACTTGTGGGCGATAGCTGACGTCACCCCAGCGGCAGCGGCAAGGATGGCGAGGTAGGCGAACTGATACTGAACCATCGGTGACTGTGCAACACCTCGAAAATTGGTTGTGTAATGTACGCAAAGGTGCTAATAATGGCACGTTGAGGAAGAGCTGAATGCGAAATGAACACGAGGTCACCGAAGTCTTTGATCACTTACCGTAAACAAGACGATTGTGTTTGAGGATTCGAGACTTATCACATCTGGCAATTTATATGCCAGTAGCTACCAGCCTGACGTAGCTTTGTCAGGTTTTAGCATGAGGTACCGTCCGACACCACGGTGATGAGAGGAAGAACCTGGCAGCTACAATATGGAGCCCTGGTACGTTCTTATCGTCAATTCAATACTAACAGAGGCAAATAGAAGGGGCGGGAGAGCTTTGGTCATAAATGTCAGCCAAGGAGGTCGGGACGATGCCTTGGACTGGGAGCATACAGAACACTTGGGGAAGGAAGTACAGTGGCATTCAATACTCGATATTCAACACTCAGGGATCCAGCATATTGCTACGAAATTGCGCAGCGGATCCAGGGCTGATCTTACGGCCATTATTGACCCGGGACGATGTCTCGGTCATGGTTGGTCGAGTGATACTCACGTCGATATTCAATGAATAGCTGCGCCAAGCAAGTCTGACCGTCACGTGACAGAAAGAGCGGTATTGCGCAAGGTACCTGCTGTACTGGTCATTAAAAGACAGCACTGGCAACAGAAGCTGGATTGCATGACAGAAAAAGTAAAAGGATCATCACCATAGTACTATTGAGCGAAATTCTCCCATTCACAAATTACGGAACAACGGCGCGAATTGAACGAGTGTTGAACCTAAAGTCTGGTTTCTAAGGGTCAGGCAACGGTGTTGAGTTACTCGGTGTATGATTTGTGAGGGTCAGGATCCAGGGTGCGACGTGCGTGCGGATTAATTGCTTAGACGAACGGCAATCGAGCCGCAGTGACAACGATAAGTACGTGCTGCCTCAAGATCCTAGACGTCAAGGGACCACTCCAACGATTTGGTCACCCACCAAAACACATGATGGTTAAGCAGAGTTCGGCGCTGTCCACCGGATTGACTCGGGTTCATGGCAAAAGACAAGACGAGGTCGACTCGGATGTCCGGTCATAAGCACCTCACTAAGATAGTATTGATCGTCGATGAACCCCGTGGTACACTTGGGCTGAAAAATGAATAATAGAATAGTTAATAGAACTCACAAAGATAAGATCATGATTTCAGCTTTGAGTCCACTGAAACTTTGATTGAAAACCTTTGTTTGTTTGCAATTGTGGTGGCACCGAGTCACCGAGTCTAGCTGTTTGGCAGTGCTTGACTCGGACTTGGAACACGATACAGGGTCACCGTGATTGCGACTCCGAACCTCTTAGACAATGTCAGGTCATAGACACCTTGGATTCAATCTGTTGTCTCCTCTATCCCCAGGTTGCCGTGAGTGTACTAATGCCTCAGTGAACTCGCAGGTTCTATGTGGCTCGCTGCATCAGAGCAATTAGCTAAGTCCTGTGAAGCTAGGTCCAAGCCATCATCACGGGCCTAGCTTGCCTGAGGGCACAGGCGCATCACCAGTTATAGTCGCTACAACGGCCGCCTGACTTCCAAAATTAAAATCAACTCCACTACCTGTAGTCATATGTTCGGTACCCCAATTACCATAGCCCGCGAGCCTCCCCGACGGCCACCTCAGCTCGACTTACACGATCCAATAATGGCACAACCTTCGGTCATTTACTATTTCGCCTCAACTATCATTAAGGCTGACGGCCGTCTCACTTTAAATTCTGTACAGAGATACTTAAGCACCTAATACACAGTCGGCATCTCGAGCTCCCAACGTGCCACAAGCACATGGTGCGTCACAGCGTGCGCTCTAAACGGAGCAAAGGCTAGTCGGATACTCCTGCAGGATCTTTGTGCTTGACAGCATTTCCTGTGCGTGAAGAGTTGATTCAAGCTGTTGTGGTATCCTAGCACTAACATCCAGAGTCAATACTCGGTGGTGGATCGTGTCCGAGTCATGGTGTCGCGGTACGTCATCGTTACTGAAGGCATCAACGGATTGTTAACAAGTCCCCGGAGCAGTACATCGTTGATATTTGGTTGGCAGGGGCCGGGTGGTATAATCACGCACCGACAAAGTACCGATTGAATAAGAACACTTCAGAACATCTTAAGGCTATCCACTTGTGCAAGATAAAAGCCGTAAGAACATTGTAATCTTGCTCTACTTTCCATTACACTGGTGAATGCATCACTACCTATCGCGAACAATGTTTATTCTTTTTGTAATCGTTTCTCTCATCTCATCAATTAATGCTACATCCATAATATCTCGCTCACAGTCCTACCCACTATCTCAGCCCGCTGTACATGGTCCTAAAACTCGATTAACCATAGGTAATAGATTCATCGCTCCCGATGGCTACAACCGCTCGTGAGTCTATTATCACGGCACTCGAAACTCCTTTCTGATCTTTGACAGAGCAACTGTTGTTGATGGCACATTTCCTGGACCTTTGATTACAGCCCAGAAGGTGAACTTTTGTTGAACTCCTTGTCGGGCGCCAGTGCTAACCTCTGAATAGGGAGATCATTTTGACATCGAAGTTGTCAACAAGCTGAAGGATGACTCGATGTTTGTGCTTACCAGTGTCATAAGTAGTGTCAAATCATCAATACTGTTATAATTAACATTGTTTACCACAGCACTGGCATGGTATCTCCCAGAATAAGACGAATTACGCGGATGGCACGTCCTTCGTCACACAATGCCCCATTACGCCGAACCACTCTTTTTTATATCCTTTCTCCGCCCCGAATCAGGCGGGCACTTACTGGTATCACAGTCATTATTCTGTCCAATATGTCAGTATTGCTCGAACCTTGCATGCGCATTAAAGAACTGACCTATGGAACAGTGTGATGGTCTCAGGGGACCCCTGGTAATCTATGATCCTCAAGACCCTTTGGCATACATGTACGATGTCGACGATGGTGAGCGGTAAATTGGTTCATATGAACCCTCTGACCATCATGTGTTTCCAGCAAGTACTGTGATCACGCTTGCCGACTGGTGAGTCTTGCGAACATGGGTAATCTGCCCGATTAAATCAGGATCACTAGGTATCATACTGTAGCTCCAGACTTACTTGACACTATACCTGTTGCCCAGTCTATGCTTATCAACGGACACGGTCGCTATGCTGGTGGACCCCAGTCTGAGCTTGCTGTGATCAACGTCATGCCGGGGAAGCGATATCGCCTGCGCTTGGTTCAAATGTCATGCGACTCCAACGTCCTGTTCTCCATTGATGGCCATAATTTAACTGTCGTCGAAGCGGATGGACAACTGACAGTACCTCTGGTGGTAGATCAGCTCCAGATTTTTGCAGCTCAGCGCTACTCTGTGATTCTAGTAACCGATCAGCCAGTAGATAACTACTGGGTACGCAGTCTTCCAGATACGGCAAATGCGACCTACGATGGGGGAATGAACTCTGCTATCCTACGTTACCAAGGCGCCCCAGAGGCTGACCCGACTACACCTACGAACCCATTGCAAGAGACAAACTTGCACGCTCTAATCAACCCCGGTGCTCCTGGCATTTCAGAGTATGGTAAGGCAGATATCAACATCGCCCTCGATGTTTCCGTCACTGGCCTACAATTCTTTGTCAATAATGTCACATTCCAATTCCCCACCGTTCCTGTTCTACTCCAAATCCTTAGTGGAGCTCGAGACGCTTCTCAGCTCCTCCCACCCGGGAGTGTGTACGTTCTCGAGGCCAACAAAGTGATAGAGTTGACGGTGGCAATAACTGGTCCAGGCGGACCTTTGCGTCTTTTCCATTCATCCAATATCTTATGTCACTCATATATATTGTACCAGCATCCCATACACCTTCACGGGGTAATTTCGCCGTGACTTTGAAGGCACATTTAGCTGGTTACTCATGAGTATTAGCATACATTCGATGTTGTACAGAGCGCGGGAAGCAGTACCTTCAATTATCAGAACCCCGTTCGCCGCGATGTAGTCAGTGCTGGGAGCGCTGGGCAACAAATGGTGATACGATGGGTCACCGACAATTCTGGTCCCTGGTTCTTGCATTGGTATGACGTCATTTTATCGAGTTTTTCAAGAAGAATACTAACTCCGAACCAACAGTCATATTGACTGGCATCTTGCAGAGTATGCGTGTAAATTTTCTCATGAACTCAATGGCTAATTCTTTAAATCCAGTGGTTTTTCCGTGGTGATGGCGGAAAGTCCCTCGGATACCGACGCACATGTGAGCCCCGTGCCGTGTAGGTCATACGTCAAGAAACTGTATTTCTACGGCTGAGCTGCTTTACAGATGAATGGGATCGTTTATGTCCAATCTATGACAATTACCAGGGATTGCCTCCTACGTTACCTGAGGGAGGTTTAGATCTTAATTGACCAATATAGGGCTTTAGTCCTACTCTATAAGGTTTTTATTTTATTTTTGAATCTTGATATCAGAGAACAATTAAGTCGGGCAAAGTACTGTATTGAGCGGGTATTTTATTTACTATTTTATTTTGCACTTGGCAGTTCCATGTGAGAGTTGTGAGGGACAGATGGAGCCAATTTGAATGTTGACGTTGAATGTGTACATTTCAACTGGCTGACTCGGTTAAAGGGACCAGGCTGCGGGCACCACCTAGCATTCTGGCATTGCGCGGCTCTTTACAAAGGTTTACTCATGAAGGAAGAACAATTCTTCAGCGCTTCAACCACCTCCATATGTATCTCTTCAGCGAGGCGACCTTTTAAAGCCTAATTTCTTTAGCAGTATTTGCTTAGTCATCATAAATCTCTCAGTCTATACGTTGTTTCTCAGAGAACTGGCAGCTGAGCAGGCGAAGCCCAGCTAGCGCCGTGCACACTTACAACCAAGCCAATGCGTTTTGAACGTTCTGCACAACCCTGCAAGTGCAAGTGCTGGTTGAAGCAGGTTTACCATCTTGCAGCTCGTTTGACAGTTGACTCCGAGTCATCACTGAGACCAGCAGGGTCAGCACTACTATTTATGTGCCAATGCAATAAGATATTGCAGTCGCGAAATGCGCCATGGTGCATAACCTGGCTCCTGCCTGCGTATACCTGCTAGTTGCGCGATTGTAACAATGACCCACCTCCCCACAAGTATAGGTCCACCGTGACTGTTTAGGTCCCAATATCATCTACTCGGACCATAGTGGCAGGCAGATCAAATCTTGGTACTGATCACTGTCCACCTGTGACGTAATGAAAGGAGCACGATATGGCGGGCACGGTGAGGGTGCCAACGACGAACTTCCGAGCAAGCGACGTCACGGGAAAGGGTTTATGGAGAAGCCTGTCTAGCAAGTGGGGTTTTCTACCATGTGGTAAATCGGAAGGGCACATACATCGTAATAATTGGGTTCCCCAGCAACAGGCACTCTGGAGACATTGAAGGCACAGGAAGGGCCAAGAACTATGCATCATGCCTGGCAAAACCCAATTAAGGGGGGCATTATGCATTATGTGACCAGCAGGAGGTACCAAAGCAACAAGGTACGAGAAAGCCCATCAAGGAGACTCTGGCTAAATCGCAAACCGCGGAAAGAGGTATAGTCCATGCGACCTCGAAATATATAAAAGACCTCCTTGCTGAGACTCTAAGTTCTCCGATCCACATCCAATCTCAACTAATATACAGCTTGGAACAACGTGACACGTCTTCACCAGGAACTTGACCTTTCAGCCGCAAGTGTCTTTGCGTTATCACGCTGCATAACTTTTCACCCGACTCGGACTCACTGAGACTCTTCTCGCAGCAACAACCTCGGCAAGCCTGAGGAAGCGACGATCATGCTCACTTTCTATGCCGACATGGAAGGCCTCTACCAGGACTTCTTCCCTGTAGTTTGGAAGTAAGTGCGCCTGCCTTTGCTCACGACGATTTCAAACCTTGCAATATTCCAGGGTCAGCAAATTCGAGAAGACAGGTGAGTGTTTCTAATCTTTCGTTTCCCAGTTGCCAACTTACACATGCCCCCTCTTTCCAGGTCCATACAGGGCTCACGCGACCTATACGAGCTAGTAAGACAGAAGATATAGATAATGCTTGTATCCAACCTATAGACTTACTTTCTCCAAACCGCGGGTCGTGGATATGAACATCATCGACGCTGAAATTTGCGTTAAGATCAATGTGAGCGACTCTCGTACTCTCTGCAATTCGTAACACCAACGCAAGTCATGACGCAGGTCAGCGAAAAAACAACACTGACCGAGGCCAACGATGTCTATCATTTCTCTGTATGTCTGACTTTTTAATCTCTATCTTTACCACTCACGAATGTCTCCTAGTATAGATGCCTCTGGTGTCTTGCGGGCTATGAACATTAGGACCATTCAGGATCTTACAGTCGGTTTATGACCATCGTAGTCTCCTTTTCTCACCTCAGTACATTGTCAATCACCAGGTTTCATGAGTCCAGAAGACTTGATACCCAAGCCTGTACTCGACTTCAATGGTATTGGGTATGTTGTCTTTCCTCTCAGCCTCTTTCTTTTTCAGAGCGCTCACAGTACAAAACGTATAGATGGCAGTCAAATCACTGCTCGATTCACTCCAGTCCTGCACGCCTACATTACGTCGGACTGTCAAGAGGCCGCAATCATACGAGCTGCCATCGACACCTCTACGATCTGGCCGGGCTTGCCGAGAGCACGACTTGGACCCTTAAACGCGACGCAGCCACTGGACATTGCGCCTTCGTTTTAAAGAGTGCGAAATCGCTGCGCCTAACTATCTGTCCAGTGAGATTTTTCGTGGCCTATTTTTCTTTATAAGGTCGCTCAGTAATATTTTGCGATAGTTGGTATTGTTTTGATCAATAGGCCTCTATCTATACAGTCACTTGATCGAAAAACCAGCGATGGTTCACACAATTCGGCCAACGGGAGGAACGCTCGCCGGATATGTGCATCTTTGCTCCAAACAGGGACGACCTGAGATAGCAGCACTACGTGGGTACATGTTCTAACATATGTAAGGACGAAACGTTTCATAATGTGGAGACATTTCCCCTGCTGCTGCGCTATGCCGCACAGAACCGATCATCGCACTTGCGGCATGTGCGCAGCTAGCTGGTATATTCTCAACCCGTCGAAAACTCACATCATCCTCAACATTATATCAAGGGGTCCCCGCCCAGACTCTTTGACATTCCTCGTTTTTTCTAAATTCACCACCTGTCAGCTCATCAATACCTAGATCTTGCTTCTTCCGCATACAAACAAGCAATTGAACATTGTGGTTGCTGCCCATCATTTGTCCTGCAGGTGTTTTTGAGACCAAATCGGGGCCAGGTTCCAGGCAGTGAAAATACGTCTGACAAGGCCTCAATCTGTTCACATTTGGACATTTACATTGTACACTACAGTTGCTGTTGTTCGAATGGCGCGCCGATATCGTACTTTTGACAGTGCGGTGTAGAGCTAGTGAATAGATCAGCGTCGAGGTTGAGAATGGCTTTTTGTAGTCTTCAAAGATTCAGAAACGGAGATAAGAGTAGAATCTGACACGGAAGCGCACAGTGAGTTGCCCATCCTGGCTAATTCGTCTCAGTTATCTCATTAAGTATTTTTTCGCATTGTAAAGAGTGGACTACGAAGACACTGACAGGGAGCGGTGGAGTAATGTACACATGGGGGTCAAACAATTTGACAGTAATAACCCCGCAGGACATCGTTCAGACTTTTTTTGATACTAAAAACTATATGAAGAAACCCAGAAAAAGCGTACCTTGTTTAGGGTTATAAATTATAGCAATCATACAATCGTCCAGGTAACGAATATTGCCCTTTGAGGACAGGCCCGGCCAGCTCGTCGATCGGACGACGTATAATCAAAGAATGAATACATGTATAAAAGGCGAAAGAAGACACATCATCATGACATGTCTACATCTTGAGCGAGGTCGGGTCGAGGTTCTCCTCGGGCTACTGAGTTAACCAGCTCCCTTCTCACTTCGAGGCCGATCTGTGGATGGGGGTTAACGCGAATGACGTCCAGGAGAGCATCTTTTTGGTCAGGGGTGAGATCCGGTGAGTATCTATAAAAAGCCAGATTTAGATTGGTACCGATATCGAATGCAACAACCTGACCTCTGGCAGAAAGCTAACAGGCTTTGATGCCAGAGCACCGGAAGCTTTTGGGTGTCGCCACGCCCACGAGCCTTGTAAGTGTTGGAAAGACGAATGAAATGGAACACCAAGGCATCAACAACTTTGTATGGAAGTTGGTACTTTTTGTCGATCAGCACGCGAATAAATAGAGAATTCGGTCCTGAAAGCAATAAGTTACCTTGAAGATAACGAAAAATGATATTGTACCTGTATAGTCCATGTTTGCTATCCGAAGTAAAGCTGCCGCAGAATGCAAGACAGGCACTTTCTTCTTAGCAACGACAGAAGCAATGATAGCGGCCTCTTTAAGGGTACAGCCGTCCTAGTAATAGTGAAAGTGATTAAGTATGGTTAGAAATGTAAGTCCGACAACCCACCTCCAACATCGGGAACACGATACCCTTGAAGAATGCTGCAGGTTTAAATAATGCGCGCTTTAGGCATTCATAATATTGTACATTGAGTTTTTTATTGCTCTGTATATCCTCCCGTATTGCATCCAGGAGGACCACGGAAAGAAATATTTGAGCCTGAGCAGGCTTCATCGTCGACACAAAGATTCGTGTTGCTGCTCTACATGCATGAGGGCTCCAATTTTCGGGACGAGTGAGCGCCAAGACTCTTGCCCATGCTGGGAGCGAAGGAATCACTTTGAAGAATTTTGGTAATGGCCCCGACTTATACCCGTGCAGGAAGATTGCGAGTCTGCAAGAAACATGAGATTCAGTAAACATTGCGTGAGACAGGATGTACGTGCTTTGAATAAGATTCTACAAGTCTAGGATCAAGACCGAGTGCTGGATCAGGATGTTCTTGATCTGGAAAATATGAGATGATAGCCTGAGCGACCAGGATTTGATCCGTACCCTGCTGCACTTTTTGCATGACATTGACACCATTGGTCTCCCCACTCTCCAATTTAGCAAAAATGATATCCGCTAATGTTCGGCGTTCACCAGAATTAGATGGCAGGAGCGCATCCAATACTTTAATATCTCCAGAATCTATTTGCTGAGGGGGATGGATGGTGAGATGCAAGCTAGCTACATCAGAATGCACTGACAAACATATCCTCTGCATCACCGTTATCACTCATGTCATCATCGTCACTGTTCTCATCATCATCATCGGCGAATTGTACTCTGGGCTTAAAGTTCTCGCGTTCATCTTCATGCCGAGGCTCATCCTCGTCCTCGGGCATATCGATCTCTTCTTGCTGATCCCTCGCGAGCTCAAAGATTCTCCTCGACATTTTTGGGTCAAGTACCTGTGCATTGCTCGATCAATCATTTTAACGAGCACGACTAGAATGTACACACTTCTGTGTTCTCTTCATCGTCGGAGGATTTCTGCCGCTTGGTGCGCTTCCCCGGTTGAGATATGCGACCGTATTTCGCTTGTTTCTCATCGACATCCAGTTGTGCGAGGAGAGGGTCATGCCTTGGCTTCACTGATTTCTGTACTCGAGGCATGATGGTATGTATGCGATTTACCGAAACATTATTTTCTGATAGATATTGATTACTTAATAATTACATACAACCCTCCTAGTCGTCCTGATAATAGTTTAAGGAAAGAATTCCACATCGGGTCTGGTGTAACTATGTAGTACTAACTGCTCGTTCGGTACTGAGGGAGTTACTAAGGTTCAATCTGATTTTCGTTTCCGCTTTGACGGCACAGGCAGAAAAATCTAACCATTACTAGATAGTCCCACGAGTCCGTGTGTCCCGAGAGTCCGCGCATCGACTCTAGCACACGCAATTCTGCACAGAATCCTTATGTATGGTATAGTCAAGTTCCCCCTAGCGTAATACATAGTGTGGTATTTTTTATTTGAAGAAAACCGAAGTAGATCTCGTCCTATGGCGAAATTATTGGTGCTGGAGGGCAATTTTGTGCATAGAAGGCTCACTATGAAGGTCAGATCACCTCATAAAATTCTGGAATGTGGTGTGATGGTTATACATGATGAGGAAATACCAAAACAAATTTCTCCGGGGCTACATGCTTGTCAGGATCATCTGTGATAAAAGAAATATGCCCCAGACGTGACAATCTATGCAAAGCGTTACATTGAGACTGTGTAAATCAAAACTCCGCAATGCCGAAATGCGGCACAAAAACACCAATGCAAAATTGAAGTCCCCAACGGCTGCATGGTCAAGTCCAAACAGCTGCGCGAGGCTCAAGAAGAAAAAGTCAAGAAGGCCTGCGCAAAGCTTTGGGAAGATCAGCGAGCTGGTAACACACCAAACATCAGGAGAACAGCAACTTACTATGGTATTCCCGAGAGTACTCTTCGTGGCCGCTTTCGTGGTGTTCGTCCTCCTAGGGAAGCCCACAAACATCAGCAACTACTCTCCGAGCATCAAGAAAAAGTTCTTGTGGACTGGATTGAGCACCTCGATGCTGCAGGCAACCCAATCAGTAAGCGGACCATCAAACAGAAGTGTTATGCACTCTGTCGAACCTGCAATTCGTCGTCAACTCAACGACCGTTCGACGGGCTTACCAGCGTCATCCTCATCCACTACTCCACATTATGTTCACGCGCTGTCAATGTCTGATCCTCCCTTGGCCGCTGTTCATTCTGGTGTTCAAGTTGCACCTACTTTACTTCCTCATGGACACCTGCATTATCCATTCTCTCCCCAGCATAATTTACATCATGCACCTAGCAACACACACTATCATACCGTTCCTCATCATTCTCTTCACAATTATCATATACCTGCACAAGCTACACCTTATTATTCACATTAGTTACTCTCGAGAGCCGAGATATAATACTATATATCTTACAATCACATAACTATTGCAATAGAATTGATTGCACACTTCTACCGCGTCGTACAGATTGTTTCGTGTACCATTGCCTCTGACAGCGCGACGAACGGTGCGGACACTGATACGGAGTGCGAAAAGGCATGGCGGCAGACGTGTGACATGGTGTGACAAAGTGCGCGAACTCTAGGGAAAATGCACTTTTCTGCGCGGTAACCTTCCGCTGGACTCAACACGTCGAGATTCAAAAAAAAAACTAGCAGGTGCTGTACTTTCGATGTCACGCTATCGAGCTGTCAACTAATTAAATTTTTATGTTGATGCGTTGTGGAGTAATAGACGTTACGCCAAAATTGCGCGAACTCTAGTGGACATCTAGTAACTCAAGGCACGCCGCATTTTGTGGTTGCTCTCTATCTCCACAGGATGTCCTCGTCTTCGGTTAAAGATGTAAGTCACAGTGTTTGATGAACGACTTCTCTTCATTACTTCTACGCTCAATATGCCCAAGAAATTATCTGAACAACCTGTACTGACCGTCTTTTTCTCATCGATCAGTGTCGCTGATGCATTTTTTCTACTCATAGACCCAGACCCTGGATAAGAACGGCCAAGAAATCACTAGCGTTGGCTTCCAACGCTTTGGGTTTGACTGCGAGGTGGCCCTTGACGCCCTCCGATCACTGTATCTTCGATCGCACTATGTAGTCTCAGTTTCTGAGTCCCAGGTTCAGGAGCTAGACGCTAAGGAAGAGGAAGGACGCGGGTATTTGACGCAGGGCCCCAATGCCTACCAGTCCAAGTCAATCTTCCATCCAGACACACAGTCGATCTCGTACACGACCCTTTCTCGCTTCGCCCCAGTTAAGCTTTTACCTCCCTCATCAAGGAAGCGCGTTCTCGTCACTGGGGGTGCTGGTTTCGTTGGTTCTCACCTTGTCGATCGTCTCATGCTCTTGGGCCATGAGGTTACCGTCCTGGATAACTTCTTCACTGGTTCAAAGACCACCGTGAGTCACTGGGTTGGTCACCCAAACTTTGAATTGGTCCGTCACGATGTTGTAGAGCCCTTCATGATCGAGTGTGATCGTAAGCCTCTGACCTTGTGTACTATTCGCTTCCTGTCTGACGATCATGGCGTCCCAGAAATATATCACCTTGCTTGTCCCGCGTCTCCTCCGCACTATCAATTCAATGCAGTCAAAACCATCAAGACTTCTTTCATAGGCACGCTAAACATGCTCGGCTTAGCCAAGCGCACGAAGGCTAGGTTTCTCATTAGCAGTACATCCGGTATGGTTCTTTTCGACATTGGGGCTTCTTCTGTACTAATTCCACTCCAGAAGTGTATGGCGACCCTGAAGTTCATCCTCAGCCAGAAGACTAGTAAGCCACGCTCAGTTGCTTCTTATCGTGTTTTTTATTATCTTGTAGCTGGGGTCATGTCAACCCGATAGGCCCCCGCGCCTGCTATGATGAGGGTAAACGTGTTGCAGAAACTCTCACATATGGCTTCCATCATCAAGATGGCGTGGATGTTCGGGTCGCGCGTATTTTTAACACTTACGGTCAGTCTTACACTCTGTGCCGTTTTCATTACTTAACTGTCACCCCTTAGGCCCTCGAAGTTCGTTTCCGTCACGTTTTCATCAGACACCAAATGCTAATCTAACGTTGATCCCACAGTGAACCCTCACGACGGCCGTGTGGTGTCCAACTTTATCGTCCAAGCCCTGCGTGGCGAGGATATGACCGTTTATGGTGACGGCAAGCAGACTCGTTCCTTCCAGTACATCCACGACCTCATCGACGGTCTGATTGCCCTGATGAACTCTGATGAAACGCGCCCAGTCAACATTGGTAACGGTGATGAATTCACTATTGGTGAATTCGCAGAACTCGTTCGCGAGATCGTAGAGAAAGTGCAAAAAGAAGATGGAATCAAACTCGAGCGCCGCGTGCAGATTGTTTATAAGCCAATCCCGACTGATGATCCTCAGAAGAGGCGCCCTGACACGACCAGGGCAAAGAATAGCCTAGGATGGCAACCCCGTTGGTCGGTGCGGATGGGCTTGGAGGAGATGGTCCGATACTATAAGGCTAAGATGTTGGAAGGGAGCATGTAAACGTGGACCGTATCTTTACAATGTTGTTTGTTGCACTCTGTAGTTGATTCTGAATATCATACATATGGGCAATTACTTGTACATGAGTGGTATGAGGGTACTCTGGACATTTAGATGTGGATACGTATACATATGTATATCTGCTAAAAACATTAAGGTAGTTGTGAAGATTCCAGAATCTGTGGCGACCTTGAGAAAAGAAAACAAGCGTTGATACTTTTTGTACAGTGAGTCATGACGGCAACAAGGCCTTCGTTATGATCCCCCTAGGTAGCTGAGTGCTTTGTGTTATCACCTTCTGCATCGTTCCCTTGATAACGTGCTTGTCGACTGAGCTAGCATTGTAGGTTGTTCGTCGCATGCGACCATCCTGGGCGACCTCGTCTGTGACCAGGCTTTCTTTGTTGGCAGTTAGAGATCCCGCCACCGGACGCTCTGGAGAGTTGGCAGTCTTGGAATGTGATTGTTTGTACCCCTTGTAGTTACGAGCGGCTTTAAGCTCAGAAGTGTCTGTCGTCTTATGAAGCACGATAGGGTGGATCGATAAACCATGCGAACATACCAATGTAACTATTGCCATGTTTGTCGCCTTGAAACCAGTGAGCCTCCTTCTTCCGTTCAGAGTACCTTGAAGGGGGAAAAAAGGTCAGCATAATGAAATTGAAGTGCGAACGTTTTGACTGACTTCCGCAACGGCCGACCATCTCTCCCAAGTGGACAGTATGCTTTATCCAAGTCCTTTGCGTAAAACATCAAGTTTTCCAACTGGCTTTTTGCGACATCGTCTTTTACGCATGAAAACGAAAGGGGAGAGCAAGGATCCCTCTGGGCGATGGATGAATCACCGACGAATTCCGCAAGCTTCGCCAGAGCGACCTTCGACCGTTCTCGCATGGTCACTTTCGAAGCAAGGAGGTCAGACCGTGTACGAGGCTGTCGTGCAAGAAACTTTGAGAAGACCTGGTTAACTATCGAAGCGCTTCCAGGGACGATGTTCAAGCAAGCTTTGGCACCTGCAAAAGTCGTAAGACAGGTGGCTACGTGGGATCGCAGGCGCTCCTACCCTTCACAACGTACAGCTGAGCTTCACCACCTTGAACGTTTATTAAATGCTGTTTAAGTTTCTCTGCGTATTTGAGCGGAGCTATGTGACTTGCTTCTCCCTGTAGATATGCATTAGCGCACCGCTCGTTCCTCCAATCAGATTTGCGGGATCGATACCTGAATAATAAGAACAGGGCAAACGATGCTGGAAAGTTCTTCGGGCCTCAAAAGTGTGCGCTTGCACGACGAGTGAGCTGGAAACATAAATAGAAGCCACATAGCGCTCACGTTCATCATAATGTTAACGAGTTCCACTATCCTCAGACGTTTTGTCGGAGGCGTGTATTTCTCCCAATAGGCTATCAGCTATAATTGACTCAGCAAACGTGGTGCCATTAATCAGAAATGACATGCATCATCTTGTAGGTCTAGATTATCGCTCTGGCGCATGGCGGCGTCAATTTGCGAAAAAAATTTGCAATGCTATGATCGGCGGCTTACCTCCCCAGTCATAAAAGTCACCACTTCGTTTCCTGCATGTTCAAAAGAGTCGAGGTCGGGCGCATAACACCACAATTGAAGGAGCTCGTCGTAGGCGTGGAAGACCCATTGCAGTCTATGAACGATTATCAGAAAAAAAAAATCCATCAAATTACAAAAGAAAGGACATACTCTGTCGGAGGGGGTACGTCGCATAAAGTCAGACTCAGAACTTGCTCAGGCCACCTAGACTGATAGTTAGCTGATATCTACCACGCATCGTGTTACATACAATGCAGCGAGTCTTAGAGCTGCATTGACAGAAATGCCCTCGAATGCCAATATGTGCGCAGGAGGTAAAAGCAAAGCCTTTTAATTAAAAAGCATTAATAACCGGACTGTAAATTCCAATGGACAAAAACGTACCTGGCAGACCATAGCAATATCCGCTGCATCGACATAGCTGTCGTGCAATTGACTGGGTCTACATCGTGATCGTCCGCAAGTCCGCTGATCGAAAGCTATCAAGTTGTATTCCCTGGAGAGTCTTGGATCGTCGAAATGTCTGATCAACCAGGTGGAGTCCAAAAATAAAGGGTGGAGGAGGATGCAAGTCGGGCGCGCTGGATCAAAGCTGCCAACGTTCCCGTGATGAGAGTTTGTGATGTACCATATAGACACGTAGTCGTCCCTGGATGGGATATCGATGTAGGGCATACGGAAGAGGAGCAAAGAAATCGACCGACACCCACAAGTTTACAAAACAGTATTATATAAATATAAAAGGGTTCAACAACGACCGCCGCCTCCTTAGCCCTGACGGCCCTTGGGTCAAATGCGATCAAATTTCTCATTAATAGCCGAGTAACCTTCAAGAGGACCTAAAAATTACTATTGGACAAACTTGTACATATACGAATATTTAATCCCATCGTCGCTGCAAGGAGTACTGGCTTGCTCCCAGTACTCTCTGGCATTGCCCTCATGGAATTATTTGCTATATAATAATGACAACCTCCTAGTACTTTCCCAGCTAAACTCGTTGTCAAGAAAAGTCTTCCAAGAAGTTTGATTGACGTTACGAACCACTACTAGTCCCCATTCACGTGACGGCAAGAATGAAGCTGGGCAGGCCCGAAGTCACAACTTCGGATGCTTCCGCACCCGCTTTGCCGCCGCTTTTGATTTGTGCCTCAAGATAAGATCGACTTCCACTCAGCTCGAGTGCATCAGTCCCGGATTTCCAAGTCAAAATCGGCTGCGTGTCGAAATGAGAAGATCCGAGGACGTACGTCCTGCTCCTCAAGCTCCTCAAGTTTTACAATTGCGATAACTCAGATTCGTTATCGCGTACGACATGCCGGAATGCAAGTAAATGGAAGCCACTCAAGCTTCCTCCCCAGCGTCTCAGTTCCTCTCACGTCTCTGTCTCCTGAAGTTAGTCACTTGAGTATGCTATCTCGTGCAGTGCTCGCCGCCGATAGTATACCCAAGTGCCATGTTCTTCATTACCGGAATGGCCAGGCCTAGAACATCGTTCGATGGACACGCAATCAGCTTCCGACATTCGCACGCAAGGTCCGTCACGGTATAAAGTTACCTGCGGCTCTTATCCCTGCAGGGTAGCACTTGCCGCAAGTCTAGCCCGCGCCCGGGAGTTTTATTGTGCTGGTTGCCTGAAGACACTTTGTATCTGCAATGATAACGAGGCACGGAATAGACACGTCATCCTCACCCCATTATACCTTCCAAGACTTGTATTACTCTTTGTTGTTTCTAGTAACACGGCATGAGATTGGTCCACGTCTTCGTCGCTACTTGGATACTCACCTCTCTATCGACCCGCAAATCAGAAGCGAACATGGTTGGTACTCCGAGGCCTTCCAGCGCAGACTGCTGCTTCTGCAAGAGACCGTCCCATGCGAAAAGGACGCGTTCTGCATCAAACTTTTGCAGCTCTTTGCGAAAAGCGTCGTTCAGCATCTACTATGTGGATTAGAACAAAAAAAAAAGGTGCGATTGTTTGTACTTGTACTTACATCTGCCTCGTATTGGGATATACCTCCGCCAATCAAAGCGGCCCTATAAGGAAAATTGTTAATGATGAAAGGGGATCCGTCGCTGGGAATTGTACGGACTTGGTCTGCGTAACCTTGACTTTATTCTCGTGTTTTCTATGTATAGCGAGTCGCTCTTCCCACAACTGTCTCTCCAAGTCAGTCTGCTCTTCTCGTAACTAAAGTTCAGATATCATATAATGTAAAGCTGTAAAGACCGCCGGACGGACATACATGGGCTACGGCAGCAACGAAGTCTGTGCTTTCTGCCAGTTGTGTGAGATGGGGCAATGCCTGCTGAAATGACATCATGCGGGGGTTTTGCCCGTGTGTGAAACCATTGGTACTTGGAGCTGACTGATGAGCCGACTCCTCTGGAGGTTGAAAAATGGGGCGGTGGCTAGCCGCTTGTGAAAGATGTAGGGAAGTCTGTTGCGTAGTGAAACGCGATGTCGAAGGTTCGAGTTTTGAGGGCCTCGGTAGAATTTTAGGTTCGGATGAATTAAGTTGGGAAAGTAAATCGGCCACCGAGGACGACGGTTTAGACGCATTGTTTGTGGTGGCGGGTGGATGTGTGAGGGGTGGTGTAGCCTGAGGTGTGGTTGAAGTCGGCGGTGTACTCTGAGGCGTGGTCGAGGTCGGTGGTGGCTTCTCCGCTACGCCATCGAGGCCGCCAATACTCTCTTGCCATGCCTGTGACGATCTCAGTCGGTCGAGGAGAGCTTTGATACCTGCAGGATCCTATTGATGATGCGAATCATGATTGATGTTAGTATGTTATATGGCGCTTCTTCATCGCTCACATTGATGTTCGTGAAGTTCATGTGTCTGCTGACTAAGACACTGCCAAGTTGTCTCGGTAGTCACAGAACGCGGACGTTTCCTCTCGATTCTGAATCGAAAACTATCGAGGCCGTTGTGTGAGATCGCCGTAATTCTTAAAATTTGAATCCGTGTTCATTCCGGGTGCTTGTGAGTATCCTTTAGTCTAAGGATAATCATATACGCCTGAGCATATAAAATTTCACAGGAACAGATAGGGAGAGACAATCGTGGAGTAACGCCAAAGTTGACCCGGTCCGATGTCATCATGACTCCGTTCGACTTACGAAGGAGAAACCTCGGGTGCTTCAGCGTACTTGTCAGTGTCTCCCGATCAAACGTCACAGAGGAGTCGATCGTGGCCTCGTGCCGCGGTCCGATCGGAGCCACCGGTAACCGTAACCACATAGACTCGATCGTAAGTCCATTGCGGAATGATTCGGATGATCCGAACCCAGGATTGTCACATCGTACATGTAAATTTTAAAACTTTGACAGGGGCTCCGAACGGACTTGTGTGATATTTTACCTAAGGACTATTGCCTCGAGGTTTCATTATTAAATGTGTCAACGGTCGGGTAACCGCGGGTGCGTGTCTACGTGTGTACTTGACAACGGAGTGAGCAGACGGTGGTCAATGCTGAAACGCCAAAGCCTTCAAGATGCAATCAACCTCGCCGCCCAATTGAATACCGCGGAGATGCCTGATAATCGCGCACTTTGCGCGACATGGTGACTAACATGCTGTGTACCGACTTTATGTACGCAAGCTCGATCCAAGTGACAGCCCATTAATATTTCAGGAACGAAATCAGAGTTCCGCCAGTGTACATTTGATTTTGTGGAAGTCAAGACTACCCTGGTGCTTTTCTCATACACCCAAATGAATTCGATGAAATTTGCATCGTTCAGTCGACGTAAAATTTGGGTGTGATATGACAAAGGTGGTGAGATCGCCACGGAGCGAATCTACTCTTGCAAATGATGAGTGTACAGATTCATAGAAAATCCACTCCGGGAGGTGAAAAAAATCGGATCACTGATGCGCACGTTCTGTACATCCAATACAACTCGATATCCGGGTCATTCATCATCATCCCTCGAGGATTCTAGCAAGCCCCTAATGCTGATCGCGGATCCAAATATTCGCTCAAGGTACTGCGGAAGGCCGATTGTATGTTTTGCATGATGTGATTTCCGCAGTCGGCACATCCGAGTCGGTAGCTTGATGAGGTCCGGGCCGTGGTGCACAAGAAGTTGAACCGGTGGGTTCATCTTCGTCAGCATTCTCATCATTCTACTGGCGCTTAGCGGAACAACGTTGTTGCAATAGTGCTAGTGATCTTTCACATACGTGCATAATTTTAATTCCGCGACAACTGTACTATGGTGTAGAGTTGATCGGTAACTGAATTCGCCATATGGTAAGTACGCGAAGTCGGATGAGACCGGCTGCATGATGAGACGAGGCCTCGAACGAATAATTGAAATATGGGTGTATCGTAAATTTCGAGCTTCCGAACAGTCGCTGCGCGGTAGATAAACACCCGATTATAACCGCATGAATAACCGGAAGAATTGGGAATATACGGGTAGTCTGCAAATATCGTAGTGCTTCAAATGAATGAAATGATTAGATAGATTTTACGCACGACTCGCTTTGTCGTTAAAGGTTAGGTTATGAGTCCGAGAGCACTTGTTGCTCGTCAGGCATATGCTCGTAATACAACTCTGTAGAACGTGCCGCGCGAGTTGATCTGTAAAAGGATGACAGCCGCATAAGCATCACCTTGACAATACTGCCAAGTTCTAGACACCCTCGGCAAAAACTCTACAGAGTGATCCCATCACCAAGTTCCGTCGAGGGCTTCTTGCAGGCCTGTGTCGTTAAAAGTTCTGGTCCAAGTGTTTTAGACGCTGGTGGTCGATACACGTGCAAACCGCGTGTTCGAGCAGGGGCGCCCCATAGATTATATGTACGTGTCACTATGATGATAGAAGCCCCTAACGGAACCTGTCAAAGTTACGTTCAGGTCCATTCTAGTAGCAAGCGTCCCTGTCATTCCGACGTCAGTAAAGTCCACCGGTTTCTCACGAAATGCAACTTAGCTAGTGTAACCGAGTAAGAAAGACATGCAAAGCAGACTCCGAGTCGTGGGACTGAAGCAATGACTCGGACTGGGCAGCGAAGTCCGACTAAAGTAGACTATGATAGATTGGGGTTTTACCTAAAGTTGGGCCAAGACAGTTGTTTGGTCGACAGGGGATCGAGTCAGTCACCATGTTATAGAGAGTCTTGTCAGTGTACATAGCTGTCGGCTGGGATGCTAATAAATATAATTTGGGACTGCTGCCTTTCGAAGGGGTCATCGCGTAATATGACGAGATCCCGCAAACATAGCATCACCAATAGGCTGTTCTAAATTAGCTGCATGAATAGATGACTTACAACAAAAAGGATCACTGACTGAAAATGCACAAGTTCAGAAGGAGAAAACGTACTTGAATTAAACGACGTCTGAACGGAGACGCTGATCGTAGTAGTTACCCGTAGGCAAGACTGCTGCGAGAGTCTCGGAGGATACAACGACGGATCAATGATGGCAGCCGTTCTCGGGGCAGTGTGCCGACGATGATTGTTGTGCCCCCGCCACAGCCGCGGCGCCACTTTCCAAAAGGGTCACACGGATGGTTAAAGTGAAGCGATATAAGCGCCACAGCTCTACCGTTGAGAATTTTAATCTTGACTTGCGGGTGCCTATATGTCGTCCAGTCATGTTAAGGGGGTACAATGATAAAACTGATGACGGCGTCGTCACTATAGAGCAAATCTAATGTGGGAAGAGATAGGCGGCCGAGGGCCGAGGTGTTTACAGTTCAAATTATTATTAATGTGACAAATGTGACAATAAATATTAAATAATGTCGCCACATAACTTACCCACGACCTACCGACCTCCTTCCCTTCTTTACGCCCTGCCTCGCTGCCATCAACATCTTTCTTATTCTTCCTTTCTTGCAACCCCGTCCGTCGTTTAATTCTGTACTTTCTTCGTCATCACCTATCTTCCCTTGATTTTAGCCTCTTTTGCCCTATCAAATGACATCCGTAGATCAGGCAGAGCAGTCTGCTCAGGCGAGTTCATCTCACATGATGAAGACTACAAAACGGGGGAGGCCTTTTCTAAAGGTGAGCCTGCATAGTCCTTTCTCAATACTAACAACTCATTTCCTTCGCCGCAGGATACCCTTGACCTCTTTGCAACGCTCATAGTATCTCTTCATCTAACTACGCACAAGCAATATTTTCGCACTTTCCCGAACTCATTCTCTACGTCTGTCCTCGATCGTTCATTTCCAGAACATTCATCTCATTTTCTTTATCAGGGACGAGGCTGCTGCGAACCTGGCATCTCTCAAGTTCTCTCAGTCAAATCGCGGGCCGGATCCCAGAGACAAATCACGAATAGTGACGACTACAACCACCACGACATTCTCGATGACTCGTGACATGGCAAAGGCTATGTGTCAACATTTCATGGACGCTCGCTTGATCGAGAACGCCGCAGATCTTGGCAGCAATCTTTTCAAAGATCGCGGTACTTATGTCCTCACGCCAAAGGGTCTCCATGTCCTGGAACGATTCATATCCAAGAACGGCATGAACTCTGATCATCTCCAACCTGTGTTCGCCTCTCAACCAATATGCATTAAGCTGTTACATCTAGAGCGTCGGTCAGCTGACGACGAGATCATCGTTACACAATCCGTCATAACCGCGCTCTTCCGTCGGTTCGTTGGTCGTCAGCCCAACTACCCCACTCAGCCCTCAACAAATCCGCCGGATGCGTTTCAAGAATATCACGAGCGATCCAAGGGCGTACCTCTAATGGATGTGCACGAGCGCGCGCAGCCTATACTGGGTAAAGCCACAATCATGCACAAGCACTGTTTCGCTGCTGTGAGTGCTCTTGAATGGCTGTGCGACTTCACCTCCGTCGTTGGAAGAGAAGAAGCGGCAGAGATGGCAGCTCAGTTCGTTCGCTTCGGCCTCATCACGTTGGTTAGCGACAAACGGAAAAACAACGACTCAGCCATCATTTTCACTGTTCGTGGTTCTACCCCAGGTGGGAATTCTCCAGTCAGCGTAAGTTCCAGTCAGCCAGTTATTCACAGGTGTTCTTATCGCATCGTTTGTTCCAGCAACACGGAGAGTTCCGATGTACAGCTAAAGCTATCTATAGAATCACAGACGAAGGCAAACGACTCGCTCAGTGGGACGAGACTAGCATATCTCCTCAGAGCTCGACGGTGAACCTTAATCATGTGGAGCGCTCGTCACTGGAAAGTGAATCCATCAATGGTACTCCGAAGACGGGAATTGAAGCAGCTGATGCTAAAATTCATCGTCGTATATCTATGGCGGAGAAGCTCAATTCCAGTCACGAGGCTGCGGAGAAGAAAGCCAATGTGAAGAGCAGTACCGACCGTCTCAAGTATATCTTGGAAGAGCCATCATATCGCGCTCTCTTCCGTGATTTCCTAAAGGCGAACTTTTGTGAAGAGAATCTGGCATTTTGGATGGATGTCGAGGATTTCAAGCGCAAATTCAATACGACTTCCAGTGCACAAGCTGCAGTTCCTGCGCGATCAGGCAGCAAATCAACTCCAGGACAAGCTGCCATGGAGAGACATCACGAGGCTTTGATTCAGACTGCCTTCCAAATCTACAACAAATATCTCGCACCGTCAAGTCAGAACGAGCTTAACATTGATCATGGTCTTCGTCTCGATCTCGCCAATTATCTCGGTGAAGTGATGGTTGGCCTGCACGGCAAATCGTTCGACGGACAAGTGGATGCTAGCCAAGCTGGCTCTTTCAATGCAACGCAACTGCAAGTCCTGATCAAACTTTACACGCGCATCCAAACGCACGTTCTTCGGTTGATGGCTATGGACTCGCTGCCCAAGGTATGCTTCGCGAGATTTTCTTGTTTTTACATCATTAATGTGTCTGCAGTTCATTAAAACGCAGCGGTTTCTGGACGCACGGCAGTGGCTTGGAGAGGGAGATGCGCCAGGCGATGACGTCCATTTTCTCACAAGTCCCCCTGCTCCTCCTGGCCTCGGCTCTGAGGAGACCGGTGGAGCTTACATCACGGTGTCTTTGAAAGGCAGTGAGCGAGAACACCGGCATCACCACAGAAATATGCCAGGGTCGCCACACGTCTCATGAGCGAATGTCCTCTCCATTTCGCTCTCCATGGACTTATTCATTGCTACTCTATTTGTGGTGTGCTTGCAGAAACCCTTCCTTGCACGACATCGTACATTCATCACCCCGGCTCACCATCGTATGCTCACCATCAATGTTGTTTTCTTCTATCGCATTTGATTCCAAACCCGGGGGGTTATCGTTCATAATTTCTTCATCGCCGTAATTGTTTTCATCTCTTTGGCATCATCCAGTATAGTATCCTGGGCCGGCTTGTCATGCTTTAACAATATTCCCCAACCTTGTCGAGCCTTCTCATCTCATTGCATCACGACGGTATCTTTTCTACATCCAGTCCCTTCGCGGTGTACAGTCTACTTAATACCCTACACTTACCTACTGCCTTGTTATGTAGGTAGCACTTAATTTCATGGCTTCCTGTCGTATATCAAGGAGTCATATGCTACTTGTTGCATGTATGTACTTGAGGTGGATTGATGAATCTCGCAATGCGCATTTAGTAGCAATGCGACCGGCAAGGATCTTCGCATGCAATGCATAGGAAGCAAGTACTATTGAATTATTAAATACAGACGTGGTTGTGTTTAGACACTTCGACGACGCATCCGAGGGCCAATTGGCGCTTGTTGATGGCGTGTCAGTTTGTCAACACAAGTGCAAACAACCTAGACATGCATTGCTTCCGAGTTAATACCGCGAAGTTGCAGAGTGTCCAGTGGCAGAATCGATTCTCATCCGCGAGATCGTACGTGAAAAATGTCTTGGATCTGGAACCCAGACGGTGATGCTCCCAAGCCACCAGCAGAAGATAATATGGTGCAGGACCCATCCGACCCTACCAGAAAGGTGTCCAAGAAAGCCGCGAACCAACCCTTCTTAGCGTATGTGGTTATCACCCACCTGCTTGCAGACAGCAACTTAACTTATGAATCTGTAGTCATAGACAATATAAAGAGAAGCAAGAACAGGAGCACCAAGCGTGGCTTAAAAGAAATAGCGAGCGCGAAGAGAAACTCGCCAGAGGAGAAGAAGTCGGTCCTGCGGAGGAGGATCCCACTGCCGAGCAGGAAGTAGGGTTCCTTGGACTGCTAAAGTTCATTGTATATTTAATTCTCATTATCGTGGTCGGGGGCAAGTTCTTCACTGGCAGCTTCCTGTGGGAATACGACGGAAAGTGGGCGCGACTGAAGACATATTGGCCAGTTCGTATTGGTTTCATTAAGTTCTTCATCGACATCCCTGACTCTGTATACAATGCGTTCTAGGAGAATAGCGGACGTCTCTTCTCAGAAACTTATTTGGCAACATTTGATGGGCGTGACCCAACGAAACCCCTGTATCTCGCGGTATGGTCCAACAGTTTCGAGTGATCGTCCATACACCTAATCATTCTCGTGTAGATTGATGGTGACGTATTTGACGTCTCGAGTAATCGTAGGACGTATGGTCCTGGAGGTCCTTATCACCATATGTGGGCATATGCCACATGCTTCCTCGACTTCCTTGACAATTATTTGCAGGGTCGGAATTGACGCAGCCAGATCATTTGGTACAGGATGCTTTGCCACTCACCGAACGCATGACCTACGAGGTTTGACCGACAACGAGCTCAGGGTCAGTGATGACGACGTTCTCCCATGTTCACACAGGACCTAATCTGTCGATACACATGTAGGGCGTCGAACATTGGAAGAAGTTCTTTGCCGAGCACAAAACATACTTCAAAGCTGGCAAAGTCTTGCACCACCCGATTGATCCCACAAGTCCGATACCTGAACACTGCGATGCGACGAAAGAGCAAAAAGGACATCCAACTACCGGGAATTCTAACCCTATGTCACATTCTAAGGGTAATTCGGAGTCGCCAATCCGCGAGGAACTATGATTTACAGGCAGAGCTATTGGTGTCCATTATTATAAGGATAGTAGGTACGTATCGCATGTATATAAGATACCGTTGCTTCTAGCATATCTACACGAGTTTTTTTTTCAATGAAGTGGATTGTCCGTGTCACAGAAGCATCTTCCGGGTCGGTATCCGCATACAGCGGCTGGGTGCCGGTTTTTAAGACTGACGGTAATGATTAGCATGATGTCTTCGACAAGGGACCACTTGCTTGCTTACCTGAGGTGCGTCGTGCGTCATAAAGTAGTTCCTCAATATCGGAAAGTCAGCGATTGATCCATTCACCATAGATGAGAAGGGGCTTTCTCTATACTTGGCGACGATGATATTTCCGCGCCACGCAGCTGCCTCTCTGAATGATCGCCCCTGGATCTCCCTAATACACTTATTGATAGGGAAGGGCATTCCGTCACGAGAGACGGTTGGATAGAAGATGACGTAAGGATTAGCGAATTTTTTGTTCATACCGTCGAGAGCCTCGACAAGCTATGAATCTGAGGTCAGGATTCGACTGAGACGATATGCGAGCTTGTGCTTACATGATAATGCCAGGCTCGGGGACCGAGGCCTTCGGCGATGTAGTCCATATAGACTTCAGGATGTGGCATCCGAGCAGGTAGAGTGCTATACGGAGCGTGTGGGTCTGGTACCGACATGGGGCTTGTCATCAAAGCCACCATATGCGGATTGCGACCGTCAGAAGGAAAGAGGAGAGCCTCGAATGACACTAATTGGTCCATGATATGAAGTGGAGATAAAGTGATATTTTAGCAGAGGGTTGTAGACCTCAAGTCTAGTGTGGACTTCAAGCCTCAGCAGTGTAATCGAACACTTTGGGGAAAAGAGGAGGAGTGAGCGGCTCTTCTTTATAGTGTTCTTACCTGAAGACATGAGGACAGTATCACAAATAATACAACAGTTTTAGTGCAGGCACGAGGACGGTCAATAGGAACAAGTTAACGGTTCAAATTGGATGCGCTGGGCCCGGGAAGTAGACTAGGATGAGTCGCGTCAAAGTAGATTTGCAATTTGATGATGGGGGGTCATAATAATCCTTCCGATCTACTCTTGGCTTCAGGCTGGATGATGCATTGATGGATCATGATCTTGTGATCGCAGTGTGGTGAGTGTGAGTGCGGGAAACAACGTAGCATAATAAAGCCCTACAAGTGCGGGCGGTACCGACAAATCGGGAAGTTTTTGATGCTTATTAGCTTATTCTCAACCGCACCGTCTTCTCGAGGTCGTAGAGGACATAAAAAATTGCAAAAGTTGACATAAAAAATCAGGGTATGTGGTCCTTGAGGTCGTTGCTGACAGTTTTGGGGTCGATCATTAGGAACGCGTGTTTGTATGCGTGCGTCTTTTAGTCCATCGGTTCCGGGAATCTCACAGCTGACCGGTCGAACAAGAGTTCAATCTTATCTGTTCAAACTCCAACGGATTTATGGACTATCATATCTGGCGGAGCCTTTGTTTCGCAGCAGGCTCGTCTTCAACAATGTAGTATCGCTACGTGCGTCAAAACCTGGCGGTTCCTCGAATTGGCCGTCGAGCAATACGGCGTGTAAACAAGGGGTATGAACGTGGATAGAAGTCTTTCGCGGTCGACTCACGCAGCCGGTCCAGACCTTCTCCAAACAGATTGGTCCTAGCGGTACCTGTGCACTATTCAATGGTGTAAGATCCCGCGCACCAAATCTCTAAAACGTCCGCTTCCAAACTGACCATAAAGTACTAGATGTGACTCGTACGACACCTTGAACTTCCTGAAGGCTGTTCGGCCGTCTCCTTAAGGGTGGTATGAGATCATTCCGTGACAAGGACACCCATCTAGGCTCAGTCTACTCCCAACTACAGGGATGTTCTTTTTTTCATTCATCTACTAAATCTTCTGATCCGTTCCCTGGGGCACTCTCAACGCACGACCACTGGGCCCAGAACGTGTATATTGTTCCTGTGTGGCGCAACAGATTTTGCGCCGAAATCCAGTTACGAGCCACAGATTTTTGGGGTTGACCCGCCAACAAGACCATCGCTGCACGATATACCTGATTGAGACTCGAACCGTTAATGCCCGGCATACACACCAATGCGTGTTCGTGATGGGATCCGCCCGGATTTCAGCGCCACCTGTGATGTTTTGGCACGGTGCGGTTATGTTGTCCCCTAGATAAGGCGAGATTGAAGAATGCATGAATCATAGCCGGGAGAGTAGCTTTACGCCAGCACCTGCAGGTGATACCAGTGCGCGTCCGATGGATCAGTCCATAAATGCATAAAGTTCAGTTACTTCTAGTCATCCTGGCCACTAAATCGAACAAGATATTAGTATAATGACTTCATCAATTATTCATGTCCGCATGGTAGTAATAGATCAGGCTGGTGGATGCACGCAGCTGCACAGCACGCAACAAAGTATAAAATCTCAAGGCATATGACGGCCGTACGTGCTACTCTCGAGACGATTGATACCGAAGTAGTTATGATAGACAGTATGTACTGAGTACTGAGGAGGAGGACCTCGATCAAACCCTTCCAACGAAAAGAACAAGCCCACTGCTCGCCCCCGGTATCACACGGAGTCTATTTAACCGCCGCCAGGGGTGCTATCGAGGCGGCAAGATCAACGTTGCAAACTCAAACTCCACTTTGGCGCTTAACCGAGAAAGGTAACTGAGTTAAGCCGTCAGGCGTCTATTGTTTTCTACTAGCACAGACTTTGACCTCTCTTTGAAGGGACAAGCCATTTATTGCTCTACCGTCTGCTCGTACATCATCTGCTTCAGAAATGAACAACGGTAACATTCTTGTTGCTGCTCAGCTCTCCTCGCTTTATCCTTCCTCCAATGCCATATCCCTAGTTCTTCAGACTGAACGTCGAAATCTGCCACTCCCCCCACCACACACTGACACGGATTCGTCCTCAGAACACGCTTCATATTCATCAACATTCTATACTCCTCACACAGGAACAATCCTTCTACGCGTTATCCACGGTGGTCTGATATTGGAACTTATCTCTCTTTCCACCGATGTCCCCCCAATTCGTTTCGTCTTCCCTTCTGCAGTCTTGCCCGCTCCAGCTATGTTCGCATGGGGCGAGAAGGAGTTACACATACTGGCAGTAATCTCTAGCGGCTCATTATTCCGTTTGGTTCTACCCACTGTCAACCCGACGCGATTATGGCACGACACATTGCCAAAACAGTGGAGTCGAGAATATATAATAAAAAACGTGTCAGAACAATTCTATGGCGTGGTCCAAGCACAGGGTTTACTATGCGTGGTGATTGGGTTGACAAATGGCTCCCTTATCCGCATAGAAGCTGAGAATATCGGAGATGACAACTTCCATGGTATGCACTTTTAACATCCGTTGGGTGGTCTTTGACATTTCCCTGCTGCGTAGACCTTTGGGCGGAACATGTTCACTCCCCAAGTTCATTTTTGGGAACACTCACTTCATATCTGCCTAGTCTACAATCATCGAGCTCTGCAGGATCAGAGATTCTCTCTGTTGCTAGCAGGCCGCAGCCCACCGAGCTGGGCCATATATGGACGCTCTCACGGGATCGTACTTTACGACTTTGGACAGCAAAGGGTGGCTGCGTTGCCTCTAAAGCTTTGTCTTTGTCAGGCAAGGGGTCCGGCGAGTCATATGCGACTTCCACCGGCATCAAATCTGAGCTTCTTGGAGCTGAGCCACGCAATCTCCTCCGCATATTTGGAAACGGGGGCGATGATGAAACTACGTACGCCGTTGCGTTTACACCAACTCCTTCATATCCACACTCTGGTGGTTACTTTCAACTCGTTGCTATTAACTCCGATCAAATGCGCGAGGTTCAGGCCATCGAATGTTCTGCCTCCAGCGCTCATTGTCACCTTCAAGATTTCATAATTAACGATCACTTCCTTTACACATTATGGGAACGTCAAGGGTCCTCAATAACGGAGAGAACAAAGTTAAATATAGCAGCGATTGATGGTTCTAATGCGATTTGGGAGACTGCTACCTATGGGGAAGAGACGGACTTGACTCCTACGAATCTCGACGAGCTCCTTTGCTCCCCCGGTTCGTTGACCGATAAATTTATGACAGCAATCTTGAGACCGGGCGTGTTCTCTCCACTTACTCTGCGGACTGCTGTGGAGCAATACACAGATGCATGTCTCTCAGTCTCCGGACCACATCCGCCTCCTCAGCTCACGTCGTCTTACCCCACTACGGCGGAAAACATCGCTGCGGTAGTCGGCTGTACTGTGACTTTAATGCAGGATCCACAGACAGGGGCGCTGCAGCATGATCGGTATTGGAATGCGCTCAAAAGAGATTGGGAGGGATTTGTTGCACGTTGCCGTGAAGTTGAGCGGAGCGCCCGCTGGCCTCTGGGATTAGGTAAAGGGAAGAACAGAGATGAAGTGATCGTGATCGAACGAGAACATGTGGGTGTCTATGTGAAGGAAGACCTTCCGCTAAGCGTTCACCGGTGCCTTTCGGACTCCCTCCCAGTGGAACCTCATTTTGCCGTTTTGGACATACTCTGGACGCTTTGCGACAAGATAGGACACGAGGCGCTTCAGAATCTGGAGACAAGGATTGTTGATATTCTCCATCAAGAGATCGCATTTTCCATCGTGGATATAATTCAAGATCAAGCGCAACGCTTTAACTTCAAGGCTTCCCTTGATGAGCCGTCAGAAGCCAGCATTATAGCAAGGTTGCAAGGCATAGAAGATCTCGATGGTGCCGTCCGAATAATCCTTGACCTTGTCGCAGGTTTTGAACAAGAAGTAAAGCGGGAAGAGGATGAAGTCGAGTTATTGCTCCCAAGCACTCGTTCTGATTGGACGACCGCTCTATCCGCCTCATACATCACGACGACGGTACATGCCCGCTATGACATATGCATTGCACTGGTCACCTTGTTATTCTTCCTAGCTGACGACCTGAAGGAATGGGATCCTTCGCTGGTAGAAGAAGTCTTCGCCGTGTTCCGAGGGTTGGCGATGTTACGATCTGTAGCACGCCAACCTGCGGTAGACACAGGCGGTGAACAAGAGGCATCAGACGAGTTATTGACCACTGACGATGTAATTGCTCGGATGAGCAATATGCATGTGTCTAGGAATCAGCCTCGCTTTGTCCCGACTTTTTCGCTACTTCACCGTCTTGCAGGCCAGTCCGGCGAGACAATGGAACTACCGGGGGCAGCTCATCGTTTTTTGGATGCGAGCGGCATGCTTCAATCCACTTCCCCTGCTAGGGTGACACAGTTCGAAGCTCTCTTTTGTGAACGTCTCCGCCTTTTAGGATACTACGAAGTCGCCCGTGAAATGCTGGCATGGTTACCACGCACGCCAGGCGTAGTATTCATTGCTGCATGCCTGTACATCAATATTGGTCGTGCTGAAGATGCTGCCCAGCTGATGGAAAAAGTTGCTGGAAGCTTTGGTGAGAACATCGCCTGACATAGACAGTCTCGTGCTTATGGTTCTCCCATAGGTCATGATAGTGTGCTCTCATTGGAGGATGCGGAAACTCTCGCCTCCGTTTTGCCTGGAGCCGTGCTCTTCGATTCCGAATTCACATTTTACATCCATGCTTCTGCCATCTTCAAGTCAAATGGCTTGGTTCAACAAGAAGTGTCTTTCATTCGGCTTGCGCTGTCTGTTGTACCCCAGGATGTCGATACAACTGAGTTATGGTTTGGCCTCATTCGAGGATATATAGATCTCGGCTTCTACGAAGATGCATACTCGGCGATCATCGCGACCCCATACGATAGCGTGTATGTCTTAAGTTTAAACCCCACATATTCGCTCACAATGGCCACAGGAAAAGGGAATGTATTTCCCAGTTGGTTTATCGAATGTGTGAAGAAAGCACAATCGAGCAATTGATGACGTTCAATTTTGCCACCTTTTCGGCTGAGATTGAAGATGCATTAGCGTTTAAAGCGCGCAACACGGACCCCCGAGCACGTCCATTCTACTCGAGAATACTTTACAC